CAGAATCCATTCTAGGCAGAAATTTATGTTCTTTCTTGTGTGAGCAAAGAGGGTCTTTTAAGTTGTTTGGCACTATTTCCTTTCTCTGCATTATTTGAAAAGGGAAAATATGTAATGTATTTGAATGATATCTAAAAATAAGAGGGGGGAATTAAATTAGATGGAATATTGCTGGAATGTATATATGCATACCCTTTTTCATCATTAAAATCTAAGATTAATATTTAGGGATCTTTGTTGTCATATATATCTTAACTTCAACTAACATGTTTCACTTCAGATCACCGCATATATTTATGGTGATTTAAATCCTTTAGGTGCCCTTTCACATTACTGCCCAAGCTGAACTAGGGTGCCCTTTTCTCCAGCCTTTAATAGCAATTTTTTCACTGTCTTCCGGCCTCCACTAACAGGTCTGGGAGGTCCCTTAAGGCCATTGTCTGCTGCCTCATTTTAAAAATAGCAAATGTTTTGGTTTTTTATTAAAGCAGAACTTCATTTCCAGGTACCAATTTCTGTTTTGCTTTTCTATTGCATGTAACAGACCACTACAAAGTTTAGTGGTTTACAAAAAAACCAAGTCATTTATTCTGAGAATTCAGTCAGGATTGGTGGCTTTCCTGTTTGCTCTTAACCACCACTACCCAAGTCTCACTTGCCACAGAAGTGTATGTTATATGAAGGTGAGAAATAGATTCCAAAACGGGGGCACAGAAGTTGTAAGATAAGACTGGAACATCTTGTTGTGCCAGAATATAAGGAAATGCTAAAAAATAAAATGAAGATGGCATATCAAAACGGTACAGGAGCCGGTTTGGCTCAGTGAATAGAGCGCCTAGCTGAGGACTGAAAGGTCCCAGGTTCGATTCCGGTCAAGGGCATGTACCTTGGTTGCGGGCACATCCCCAGTGGGGGATGTGCAGGAGGCAGCGGATTGATGACTCTCATTGATGTTTCTAATTCTCTATCCCTCTCTTTTCTTCTCTATAAAAAAATCAATAAAATATATTTTTTTAAAAAGAACTACATTAAAAAAAAAAAAAAAGATACAGGAGCTAACCTAAAGTAGGAAGGGGAATATCATAAAAACATTTTGTACTTCGGAATGGAAAAAAGTTCAATGTCATTGTTGTATATACCAAAAACACTCTTTTTAAAAATATTTTTTTAAACTTATTTTAGGAGAGGAAAGGAGAGATGGAGAGAGAGAAACGTTAATGATGCAGAGAATCATTGATTGAGTGCCTCTTGCATGTCCCCCACTAGGGATCCAGCCACAACCTGTGCATGTACCCTCACCTGCAATCGAACTGTGACCTCCTGGTTCATTGACCAATGGCCAACCACTGAGCCACCATGGCTAGGGTAGCTGTAGCCTAGCTCATCTTTTTTAAAATTATAAAGTATCTATAGTTTGATACATATGCAGTAGCTCTATTTGATTAATTTTATTTAAATATTTACTTTTTTGGAAAGAAGTTATTTTCAATCCAGATTGTGTATGTAACATTTCTTGAAACAAAAAATCATAAACATAAAATTGTGATTCTTCCCCCCCCCCCCATATATTGTTATATTCATGTTATAAATGAAGCTCTATAGGTTGAGGACAAGTTTCTGATTCATTTCAGAAAAAATGTAACCAAGAAAGTGAAATACCTGATATTGAATTTAAGACATTAATTAAAAAACTGAAGAAGACATAAATAAATGGGAAGATATTACATGTTCGTGGATTTAAAAAATTAATATTTTTAAAATGATCATAATACCCAAAACAATGTTCATTTTTCTGGATTCTTAAGTAATTTAGCTTTATAATACAAATGTTAGGCATGCTGACTTTAATTTTCTTAACCATGTTTTTATTGATTTCAGCGATGAAGGGTGTGGGGGAGAGAGAAACATCAGTGATGAGAATCATTGATCATCTGCCTCCGGCACATCCCCTACTGGGGATCTAGGTCGAAATCCGATCTTGTGCCTGACCGGGAATCAAACTGTGACCTCCTGGTTCATAGGTCAATGCTGAACCACTGAGCCACACGGGCTGCGCCAAACTGACTTTCAATAGCCCCTTCTTAAATTTAATTTGTTGCCTGAAGTCACTTTTGGGGGAGGTTAAGTTTAAATACTTAAGAAACAGTTTGCAATTGAAGTTAATTTCTTTTTTTTTTAACTTTTAAAATTATACAAATAATATTGAAATAAGGATTGCACTTTGTGTTAAATATAAACTTATAGTTATTTTGTAGGACATTTTTAGTTTTAAGTTCTTGATGGCCTCTTACTTGGGCTTTAACCTTTTCCTAATGGCATTTTAACAAGACTATTTCCCAACTTCATTTAGTAACTGTCACTTCAGAGTAAAGTAACTCTGGGTGTCACGGGCTAGTGGGACCTTTTAGTTAGAGGGTATATGAGTCTGGGATCCAGATGAAAACAAGAGGTAAAATTAATGGGGCAATAATCAAAACTTGAGTCCTTAGAAAGAGTTGTATCTGAGGAAATGCTGGTGGTGGGAGGGGGGCAGGAGGGAGTGTTCTAGACATTGTAGAAATTGCTTCCATTGTTTTGGTGTTAATTCTAGCAGCTTGACCTGAGCTTCAAGTATGAGGCAAGGTATGAGTTGGTGATGGAAAATAATTCACTTAAAGGAACTCCAGCAGCCAGAGAGAGGATTAATAAAGATTGTATCTAGAACAAGTGACTTCAGTGAAATAGAACTATTGGAAGAGATAGATGACAACTTTAACAAGCAAAAAAAAAAAATTATCCAGAGATTCTCAAGAGAGACAAAGCTATATGTTTCTAGTCATAGCATAAAAGAATTAAAAAGTGAGGGGAAAAACTCTTCTATATATTAATTTTGAGGATGATTATTGTTGATACTCAAATTCAATGTCTGGAACATTAATTAGAGTATATCAAAATAGAAAAAATATAAAGGAGAAAGAGGACATTGAGGAGATGCACTAACTAAAGATAAAATTGAGGAGAATTTCCCTGGTTTATTTTTTATTTATTTATTTAATATATTTTATTGATTATTCACAGAGAGGAAGAGAGAGGGATAGAGAGTTAGAAACATCGATGAGAGAGAATCATCGATAACCTGCCTCTTGCACACCCCCTACTGGAGATGTGCCCACAACCAAGGTACATGCCTTTGACTGGGATCGAACCTGGGACCTTTCAATCTGCAAGCCACTGAGCCAAACCTGTTTTGGCGAATTTTGCTGGTTTAAAGAAGGATTGATAAGTACAACCAATGGCCACAAAACTCTGGGGAGGGAGGGCATGTATGGGGGGGGGACAATGGTATATATACAAAGATAATAATTTAATTTAAAAAATTAAAAATAAATTTTTTAAAAAAATATAAAGGATTGAAAGAACCTATTGAGTTCCAAAATAGAAAGTTGGGAGTGGTTCAGAGATAAAAAACAAACAAACAAAAAACCCACAAGCCATTTACACAGGAAAAATGATCAGATATGTGCTGGACTACTCAGTGTGACACTGGAAACTAGAAGGTAGTAAAATAACATCTACACATTGCTAAAAGAACTGTACCTATTCCTAGACAAAATATAACTCACTTGTTATGATGAAAGCAAGATATTTGCAGATATGCAGGAATTCAGTCCTCTATTAGATAGAAGAAAGTTCTCAGTAAAGGGTTCTTCCCAAATAATTCCCAACAGAGATTTGAAGATGGAACAGAAGAAGAGAAAATAATGGTGAGCAAATTTATCTCACAATCTATTTTATTAAATCTAAATGGGTAGTAGTCGGAGCGATTGTATTCAGCACATTTCTTTGTCCTCTGGATTTCCTGAAAATCTGCAGCTGATCCAGAAGCTTGATTAGGTTTTATTCTTGTCTCTGTGTCAAGTGATAATCTTGTTCTTTTAGTGGGAGGCATATGATTTCTGATTGTAAAGGCAACAGCCATCAATACTCAATTCTAGATCAAATAACTTATTGAATGTTGGAAAATTGGTGATATTCTATCATTTTTCATTTATATCTAAAACACATGTTATATATGAGACATTTGGTTACTCAGTTCATATAGAAAAGGCAAAGATAAATGTTTGATTTTCCCCTTTGTCAGTGTGCAAGATAATGAATTGGTTCTCTAAAACCTTTTGGAGGTGGAGGAGAATATCTCATTATCAGATTGTATAGTAATTTCAATATGTAGGATAGCTTTCAATTTGTTTCAATTATTATCTTTATTGGAGCTCAAATTGTCTTATTTTTGGCCAGTAAGAGCAAAGATGGTCCCTGAGTCCTTAGACATGACCCTGTTTATCTTTGGTAAAGAAAGAAACAGTATTTTTTGTTTGTTTTTGTTTTGCTTTGCTTTGCTAAAAAACCTCAAAATGTTGTCTGTTCTTTTGCAAAGGTGGATTTTAGGGATCCATTCGTTTCTTTGGATATTGGGTAGATCAAAGTTATGATCTTTGATGTAGTTTGTTGGCAGATATGCCTGAGACTTGTATTATTTGCAAAGAATAATGGTTTTATTTTTTAGTACATGTGGAGATTCAAGAAAAATCAGCATTTCTCAGCAACAGATGTAGAAGCATAAATTAAAATGGTTTGTTCAATTAATAAAAAATTTGAATGGCTGAAGCTGGTTGGCTCAGTGGATAGAGCATCGGCCTGTGGTCTGTGAGGGGTCCCGGGTTCAATTGTGGTCGAGGGCATGTGCCTTGGTTGTGGGCACATCCCCACTGGGAAGGGGGGGGTGTGCAGAAGGCAGCTGATCGATGTTTCTTTCTCATCGATGTTTCTAACTCTTTATCCCTCTTCCTTCCTCTCTGTAGAAAATCAATAAAATATATTAAAAAAATTTTTTTGAATGTTTATTTTGGATCAGTCTTCCAGTAGGAAATCTTGGTAATTCAAACATTCACAAAAATGCCTATTTAAAATTTCAATAAAATGAGTTGCAAGGATTGATTTTAAACTTTATTTTTTTCTTTCAGATCTGTCACGAAATCGCCTCTCAGAAATTCCCATAGAAACATGTCATTTTGTTTCTCTTGAGAATCTCAACTTATACCAAAATTGTATTCGATATATACCAGAGGCAATTCTAAACCTACAAGCTCTAACATTCTTAAATATTAGGTAAGATGTTGTTGTTGTTTAATATTTGATTTTATGTGACTTTTTCAATTTTCTGCTTCTTACTAAAGTTTACATTATCTTTTAATATCAACAGTTTCTATACATGTTCGTTCTTAGGCTAAATTAACAGTATTTCCTGTGTCCCTCTAGTTTCTCCCTCTCTTTGCAATAATTGACAAACGCTAATAGTCAGTAGCCTAGTAGGCTTGCAGTGTTTCTCCAAATAACTTCGTTTGGTTCTTGTGATTATGTATTTTTATGAATTCAGTTCATAAAATGAATGTATAATTGCATCTCAACTCATGTACTTACTCCATTTTTTCACATTTTATGGAATTCTTTTGTTATTTTAAAAGTTTTATTGGAGAAAATGAGCAAATGAAATATCCTTTGGAAATACTATTATATGTAATCATTTTATTATACAGTTTACATAATTCTAAAACTCATTTTGCCTCTTCGTATATACTGTAATGGTTAGGAGGGAAATATACCCTATTTTTAAATAATTTTCTCTTAATATAAAATAACCTCAGTAAAATAATATGTTGCATTTATATAGCACTTTATTTTCTATAAAGGTTTTTTATGGTATAAGGTAGAGGAGAAGTTAAGATTCTCAGTTTACAAATGAGTCTGTATAACATGCCTGTAGGTTAAATGCTGTTCCTAAAAATTACAAGGCTGACAAGTGAGGACATGTAGGCTACAACTCACACCTTGAATTCTATTTGTTCCTTGTAAGACCTGTATTTGTTATTTTACTGTGTATAGAGTGGGAAAGATGGACATTTTTTTCTTCATTAATGGGCTCTGAATCTTCTTTTGTTTTTCTGCTTACCCATTTTAGTCGGAACCAACTGTCAACACTGCCAGTACATTTGTGTAATTTACCATTGAAAGTCTTAATTGCTAGTAATAACAAATTGGTCTCACTTCCAGAAGAAATTGGACATCTCAGACATTTAACAGAACTTGTAAGTTAATATTTTATTTTTCTATTGTCCCACATAACCATAGAAATACCCTGTTCTTTTATATGGTACAGATCCATTATTGCCGTGTATTTTTTAGTTATTTTGAAGTATTAATAATGAAGTTTTACTGATTGTTCAATATTCAAGGGCTTCAGTACAGAATTAAGAAGAAACTGAACGTACAAGTCTGACAGGCTCACATGGAATGGGGAAAGGCCATTAAATTAGGTTCTAATCAATATTAAGTGATTTCTGTTATTAAACTTTTGAGGTATAAATATTAAATCTTGTTAATATCAATATTCTTATTTTTGGTTAACCCCCATTGGTAAATGGATACTATAGAGGTCAGGCTTACCTTTTTTTCCTTATATCTTTAGAACCTATCTCCCATTCTAAAGTAAGCTATCCTTTCATATATATATCTATATATATATGTGTGTGTATATATATATATATATATATATATATATATATATATTATTGATTTCAAACAAGAAGGGAGAGGGAGAGAGAGAGATAGAAACATAAATGATGAGAGAGTATCATTGATTGGCTGCCTTCTGCATGCTCCACACTAGGGATTGAGTCTGCAACATGGGCATATGCCCTGACCAGGAATCTAACCGTGACCTTCAGGCGTCTTCAAACTACGGCCCGCGGGCCACATGCGGCCCGCAGAGGAGTCTGATCCGGCCCGCCAGGTTTTTTGGGCAGTGAGCGCATCCGAGGTGTTACAGTAGGAATTAGTAGTTCATATAGTCCGGCCCTCCAGCTCTCTGAGGGACCGTGATCTGGCCCCCACTTTAAAAAGTTTGAGGACCCCTGTGACCTAGTTCATAGGTCAATGCTCAGCTACTGAGCCAGTCGGCTGGGCAAGCTATTCTTTACTGCCTTATTTCTGAGAACTTTAACCCTCACCTACCACTCCTTGTTATTCTTGAGTACTTTTGTTATGGGCATGGCAATAAGACTTTTCTCTTTTAATCACCAGGTTACATTATTAATTGAATTCTATAATTATTGTATTACAATTGAGGGAACTAGCACTCAGATAGGATAAGGCCCAAGGTTCCATAATTGCAGTAGAATTTGAAGCCACTCTACCTTAACTCCAAAGCCATGTTTCATATTTCTGAAATGGTCACATGCAGTTATGCCCATTGAGATTTGGGAGTATAGTTCCATGTACTTTTATTAATAATAAAGATGAACTTCACAAAAAACAAACACTATACATATATACTCTAATTGCACTACATAGCTAACTTTTTCAGGTGGATTATGAATATAAAGGTCATGTAAAATTCACAAATATATTAAATCTAGAATCTTTATACTAGACCATTTATTTAGAGCCAGTTAGATCTAGGAAATAGATAAAAAATGTATGTTTGTTGGCATTTCTTCAGAGGTTGGGTTAATAACATGAACTAATAGTAAATTATACTCGATTGAAATTCTGATTTTCAAATCTTTTAAACTTTCTATTTCTACTTATTGAATCCTCAATACTTAAAATATAGATATGTCTTACAAAAGGTACTTTGAGATTTCTACCAGAGTGGTGAGTTGATATCCTAATTATACAAACAGCTTTTGGCTGAGAAACAATTAGTAAACTTAAACTTACCGATTTATACTTGATGGTCTTTCTGCACCATTCTTATTCGTTTCTGAGTGAAAGTAAATTGTCTTTCAACATATATATTTTCTGAAAGAAATATTATAGATTGCTATTATCTCTGGCTCAGGCTCAATTTTCCGACCCTTTCAATTTCTTTTAGAGCTCTTTTAACTTTTATGCCTACGGTATTGGACTAAGAAGTCTAGCTTTTGATTCTACTTCTGTCACTAATTGATAGAAAAATAAAAGTAAAATTAATTTTTCTAAAAATGTTTTGGGAAAATTTAAAAATAATATTTGAAGCTTGTTGAATTTTTTGATAAGTGGTCTTTTCTAATAGTCTTTTAATATACTTTTTACTTCTATATTGGAGGAATTTTAGGTATTAATGTGGCATCTTGATAATTAATAACCTAGGCAGCTTCTTGATGCTACACATGGGTGTATAAGTTATTCTGGTTGGTCTCAGAATTATGTAATCCTGGATATATCAGGATTAGAATCTAAAGTCATCTCATTTTAGAACCAGTGGAATCAGAATCAAGCTATTACCAAGATACCAGAAGGCCTACCACATATATATATATAAACTTTATATATATATAAACCAGGTTCAACAGATGCTAATAAAGCATTATCTATATTTCCATATCCTTTTGAGTTATGTGTACTTTGTCATTTCCTCCTCACTTTGAATTTGATAAGGAATGATATGAGTCATCTTCAGAGTATCTTTATCTTATACTAGGGGCCCAGTGCACAAAATTTGTGCACTCAGGGGCAGAGGCCTCAGCCTGGCCTGGGTCCTCAGCCTGGCCTGCACCCTCTTGTAGTCCAGGAGCCCTCGGGGATGTGTAGCTGCCATTGAGGCAGGAGAGGCTCCAGCCACCGCCGCTGCGCTCACCAATCATGAGCCCAGCTTCTGGATGAGCGGCACTCCCCCTGTGAGAGTGCATTGACCACTAGGGGGCATCTCCTGCATATCATAGCGATTGGTTGTCCCACTGGTCGATTTGCATATTAGCTTTTTATTATATAGGATTCTTGACCAGTTGAACTGGTATTTTAAAAATGGAATTTTTTAAAATGTATGTGGATTTTTTTATTTTTTAAATTGATTTAAGAGAGGGAGGGGTAGAGAGAGAGAGAAAGATTGCTTTGTTGTTCCACTTACACATTCTGTATATGCCTTCACTGCAACCTTGGCATATCAATATGATGCTCTAATAAATCTCCACCTTTGCTATACCATCTTCTGTCTGGATTCATCCTTTGACTCCGGATCCAGTCCAAAAATTCCATATCATAAGTGACAGTAAGCCAGGACAAGTGGAATAGGGAAACTACGATGGTTAAATAGCAGTTTGGAGCCATCTAGTAAATCCTATCTCCTCTAAAACAAGGACACTTAAAAGTAAATGATTTGCCCTAATCAGTTTGGCTCAGTGAATAGAGCGTCGGCCTGTGGCCTGAAGGGTCCCAGGTTTGATTTCAGTCAAGGGCAACAACCAGGGTTGGGGCTCCATCCCCAGTGTGGAGCGTGCAAGAGGCAAAGGCAACCAATCAATGATTCTCTCTTAGGATTGATGTTTTTTAACTCTCCTCCCTTCTCTCTGAAATCAATAAAAACATTTATTTTTTTAAAAAAAGGATATTCTTTCAAATAATTTTAACATAATTTTTATATTTTTTTCTTCTAGCTTTATTAGAACAATATAAAATAAAATATTGTCCTATATCGATGTATTTATACTTTTTCCTTTTTTATCTTTTTCACCTGTATTTTTATTGATCTGATATTGTATGCCTATCTGCTTCTTAAAACATTTAATTTTAATTCTCATAAAATTAATTAGGTATATGTAAAATGTATAGAATCAGTCAGAAGACTGCATTTTTATAATTAATAGTAAATGCTTTTACAAACTACAGAATTATTCTTGGACACCGAGTCATAATTTTTCTATAACAAGGAGGAACTGCAACCTTATTGTCCAACCTCATTTTACAGGTTGTTTAAACTAGGCAAGTTTGGAATTTTAGAATAATTGTTTATTTTGTATCTTTTTTAAATAGGATGTGAGCTGCAATGAAATTCAAACAATACCTTCTCAAATTGGTAATTTGGAGGCCTTGAGAGACCTTAACCTCAGAAGAAATCACTTAGTACGTTTGCCAGAAGGTAAAAAACTGTGAAATAATTGTTTTATTATTATTTGTCTTTTTATTTTAAAGATCACTGAGACTGATGGGCATAAGACAAAAATGTATGGAGTTACGGCCAATATTTTAGATGTAATGGTTGACTTAATATGCTATCTCTTCCATTGTGAATTTTATTTTTTCTCCCCAACATTTTTATTTCTTTATTTTGAAAAATTTAAAGAAATATAGAAAACTATAAACATACCTGTACCCACCAACCAGAAATAAAAGATGTTAGTTTTGTTACATATGCTTCGTATTTTTTTGAAATAAATTTAACTCTTAGTATTTATAGTAAAAGTCACATTCTATATATATGCATACATACAAAATATTTAATTTCTTACAACAGTTTTTATCAACTTGCAATCATTTCTCATTTTACAGTAAAGTAATGATTTGATGGATTCACTGGTCCATTGTCACTTCTATCAAGTGACTAAACTAGGAATCTTTGATTATGAGCTTCTATACTCCCACTCTAGCTTGATTTTTTAAAAATTAAATCTTTATTGTTCAGATTATTATAGTTGTTTCCCCCCCCCCCCCCCCCCCCCCCCCCCCGCATAGTTCCCTTCTTCCCAGTATGATGATATGCTGTAGTATGAGTATTTTTACTTGGGGGGGCCTTTTTTCAAACCAGACATTCACATCATTCATTCTGGAAAATTGTCTTACATCTTTTTTTCTTAAGTACTTATTTTTTAAAATTATCATACAGTAAAATTGACTTCTTAGGGGGGTATAGTACAGTTCTATGAATTTTAACTTATTTTTTAATGCAACCACCACCACAATCAAGATACCTAATCCCATCACTTCAAAAAAAGCTCCTTTTTTTAAAATAAACTCACTCTTCACCTCCTGTTTTGTTCTCCATCCCTATAGTTTATCTTTTCTAAAATGTCAGATAAATGGAATCATATATACATTTTCATGTTGATTTCTTTAACCCAATTTGCAACCTTTCCATGTTTATTTTTTTCACTTTTCAGAAAATTTCCTTTCTTCTATGTGCGTTGAACAGTGATACATTTTAGCTTATCATGCAGTCACAATACAATTCCTAGCTTTAAGGAAGTTAATAAAATATCTTGAAGGGTTTTTAACAGGAGTGAAAAGTGAGATACCTTGCAGCTCCTGGTAGTCAGGTCACGGGTTGTTTTTTTTTTTAATGGATCTTGGTTCTGTTCCTACAGTATGGAAACCTGTGTACTGCTAACTTGTTCTTTATACAGACTATCATTAATCCCTTTGTTATCCCCATCTTTCTATGATATTAGGCCTTCAACTTTCTGTAGTTCTGTGAGGAGTCATACAGCTTGCTTTTCATTAGTATTCCTGTCTGTATCATCTAGATTTCATTTTATACCACTTTGCTATGTCACTTAATCACTAAGAAAAAATGGAAGTAAATACTTATATTAAATCCACTATATTTAGCTAGAAGCTCCTGTCAAAATTGTCTTGTTTTGAAGTATCATTAATTGTTCATTTCCATTTTATCTCTTTGCAGAGCTGGCAGAGTTGCCTTTGATACGGTTAGATTTCTCCTGCAATAAAATTACAACAATCCCTGTTTGTTATCGGAACCTCAAGCACCTACAGATGATTGCCCTAGATAACAATCCATTACAGTCTCCTCCTGCACAGGTAAACCATTGTTTATTTGAAGTATGTTATGAACTTCTTTGGCAAAGAATGAAACTTTATGCATTTGTTATATGAATTTGTTTTTCTGTTGGAAATTAAGTTCTTTTAAAATAAATGCACACACTTATGTATTCATTAGAAGCCTTGACTGAACAGTGTGGAAGATAGGTACAGTGTCCAAAAGTGTTTTTCCTTTCATTAAATTGATCTCCTAAAAAACTTGTGGGCCCTAACCAGTTTTGCCCAGTGGATAGAGCATCGGCTTTTGAATTAAAAGATCCCAGATTTGATTCCAGTCAAGGGCATGTACCTTGGTTGTGAGCATATTCCCAGTAAGAGGTGTGCAGGAGGCAGCTGATTGATGTTTCTCTCTCTTATCTATGTTTCTAACTGTCTATCCCTCTCCCTTCCTCTCTGTAAAAAAAAATCAATAATATATATTTTTTAATTAAAAAAATAAAGTTTTTTCCAATAAAATTTGAGTTAATTTTTTTAAAATAAAATTTGAATGTGTACAGTGTAAATGCTAGAGACAAATAAGAATACTTAGCTTTCAGAACTAATGACTATCGGTTCATCTCTTCTTACCGGTGTTATTATACCTTCCTGTTTTCTAAAATCTTCAATTCCTTTATTTATTTAGTTTGGTCATTTGAGTCTATTTTAAATAAAGTAATTATGGGTAGTGTTACATATATATTCTAAACATCATACAATCTAAAAAATAACAACCTGTAGCTTTTTTTACTCTATAATCAACTGATGGTACAAGCCTCTGCCTAGCAACTATAAAACTTTATGAGTAAACATCAAAACTATAGAAGGGTCTTATAATCCAAAAGAATTTGTGTTTTGACTTCTGGGACAAAAGCCAACAGGTAGCAACAGAAATATTCTGTATATATAGCTTAATATTTAAACATTTCCTGCTTTTCTTTCTGTCAGAATGTACAGTAGAGAACATAATATTGATAGTACATGATTGTTGGATTACTAAAAGCAAATATAATTCATGTGGGAGCAATGCTTTAAATTCCTGACAATGCCTAACTAATAATAAGTTTATTTCATATTGTTTGTAATCATAAATTATTTTATATGTTACTTAGACTTATTAGTATCTAGAAAATAGAATCTATATATCATTTAAATGCCTAAAATAACAAATAATGTAATTTGTTAAAATTAGTGTTAGATTTTTAGTATTTGTACTTAATAGAAATGTCTTCTGTTTCCAGTATACATTAAGTAAAAAGCTGATTGTGATTAAAAAAAGGGACACATTTCAGATGAGTAACAATTTGATTGCATGTATGTGTTACTTTATTTAGATATGCATAAAAGGCAAAATTCACATATTTAAGTACCTGAACATACAAGCTTGTAAGATTGCTCCAGATCTGCCAGATTATGATAGGAGACCCTTGGGTTTTGGCTCCTGGTGAGTATGTTCTTTTATTATTATTATTGTCATATTCCATCTCACAAGAAATAAAATACACTAGACTCTTAAATCTTCCTGAATGTTTGACTATAAGGAAATGACCTATTTTGACATTATTTTTCTCAGAATACTTACATTCAGTACAATGTTGATTAGTTCGATATGGCAAATTATAGCTCTAATCAGGGTTTCTCAATCTCAACACTGTTTGTTATTTTGGGCCAGATAATTCTTTGTTGCAAGGAGCTGTCCTATACATTGGAAGATATTTAGCAGTATCCCTGGCTTCTATTTTACTCTCCCAGTAGGACAAACAAAAATGTCTCCAGACATTACCAAATATCCGTTGGGGGGCGGGGGAGGGTAGAGGAGTCTATAATTGAAAACCATTGGTCTGAGTGATTTGAATATTAACCTAGCTCTGCTCTTAACTAGCTCTGTGATTTAGGCAAATCTCTCAAACTTTTTGTGCTTCATTTTTCCTATAGGGAGTGAAGAGATTGGATTTGTTGTCACTTTGGGATCTAAAAAAAAATCAAAGAAAAGATGTACAAAAAATAAAAATAGCTTTTATTTTATATATACTAATTGATTGTCTCCCTTGGAGTTAGTAATTTTTGCTAAGATAAAGTTTTTCCCTTGTGAAATAACAGAATAGGAACATTAAACTACTATTCTACCTTTGAGATTTGAGTGTAAGACAATTAATAGGGCGTCCCGGTAGCTCTATGTGAGGGTATGCCTAAAGAACTGAGGAGGAGCATTGGCACCTATGTGAAAAATGAGCTTTAGCTAAGGGCTGAGTGCTAATCGTAGACTCTGTGATTCTGTCTTTTGTCTTAGCCCAACTTTTTTTTCTTTACTATAGCAATCATCATCAGATTACTTTAAAAACATACATAAAAAACAACAACCACCACTCAACAAGAGACTTACCGTATTTTTCGGACCATAAGATGCTCCGGACCATAAGACGCACCAGTTTTTAGAGAAGGGAAATGAAGAAAAAAAGATTCTGAAACAAATAGTGTCCTAAAATATTTTATGTGCATTAAAACCCAACATCACAGTCATAAACACATGTAATCAACCCTGTAAAGTAAACAGCAGCATTTAGAACCATTTTAGAGCTGGGCAAGCACACAGAGACCACACAGAGCCGGGCAAGTAAAAAAACTTTTTTTTTAAAGTATATGTGTAGGCTATATTTGGACCATAAGACACAGGGACTTTTCCCCCCCACTTCTGGGGGGAAAAAAGTGCGTCTTTTGGTCTGAAAAATACGGTACATCTTTCTAAGAGATAAAAGAAACCTTGGATCAATGGAGAAACCTTTCTAAAATGCAAAGTCTAGATAGCATAAATATGTCTTGTCTCTCCAAAGGAGATATGATACTTTATTTGTAATGGTTTCACCTTTTGCTAGAAAATTTAAATATAAATATATGTGTACTAGAGGCTCGGTGCATGAAATTTATGCACAGGTGAGCTCCCTAGGCCTGGCCAGCCATCAGGGTTGGGCTGATTGGGGTTTGCTAGCCAGGGGGAGGGACAGGGCATGGGAGGTTGGCCTCCAGCCCCAAGAAGGAGCCAGCCCTCGGCCCCCCTGGGAAAGGGGCCACGTCCACCACCACCCACCCCTGGTTCCCCATCCCAGTCCAGGGCCTGGAGAGGAGGCTATGGTCACTGGGTCAGACACTGACGCCGGAACCCCACCACCACATGATTCCCGGCCTCCTGCTCTCCTTCCCTTGCCACCGTGCTGCCACTAGGGCCTGCCGGCTAGTGGGGAGGGACAGGGAACGGGAGTTTGGCTGCCAGCCCTCCTGAGAAAGGGGCCCTGTCCGCCGCCACCCACCCCCAGTTTCCCATCCCAGCCTGAGGCCCAGCCCCAATTGGGTGATGAGGGCGGTGGTGGGGAGGGACCGGAGGAGGTTGACCAGCCGGTGGGAAGGACCGTGGGAGGTTGGCTGGTGGGGGAGGTTGGCTGTGGGAGTGCACTGACCACCAGGGGGCAGCTCTGAATATAAGTATTCTGAGAAAAATAGTGTCATATCATTTGTGACACTATTATATGACCACCCTTGGTGGTCAGTGCGCGTCATAGCTACTGGTCGTTCCTGTCATTCTGGTTGTTCCGGTTGCTTAGGCTTTTGTATACATAGATAGATAATTTATATATTTACATATACATAAAGTATTTCCTTGAACTCCTCATGCAACAGTGAATGAGATATTATACCTTCATATCTTTCCCACTGGGGTACAGATTAGTGAAATTGCATTGTAATTTATTCAAAATAAACAAGCAAGGCATCTAATGAACAAAATAAACTGATGAATAAAATAGAACCAACAGCATGGAACAGACTGATGAGTCTCAGAGGGGAGAAGGGTGGTGGTGGTGGCAGGAAGAGATTAACCAAAGAATTTATATACATACTAGAGGCCTGTGCATGGATTTGTGCACTGGTGAGATCCCTTGGCGTGGCCTGTGGGGATCGAGCTGAAACTGGCAGTCCAACACCGCCTGCAGTTTCCGCCTGCTGCTCCAGCCCATCCCAGCCCCACCGCGCCTGCCGCAGGCTTGCACCCAGTCAGTCCTGATGAGGAGAGGCTCACACTGCCGCAGGGGTGCTCGCCAGCCATGAGCCCTGCCCCTTGTGCCCGTTGGTCAGCTGAGCTGCGGTCCCACTGTGGTAGTGCACTGACCACCCGGGGGCAGCTCCTGCAATGAGTGTCTGCCCCATTATGGTCAGTGTGCATCATAGCAAATGGATAATATAAAAGCCTAAGTTGGGTTACTTAGGCTTTTATAGATATAGATATCCATTACCTATGGACACAGACAATAGGGTGGTGAAAACCTGGGGCAAGGCAGGAACCACGTGGAGGGGGGGTAATGGGTAGAGAAAAGGGGGACATTTATAATACTTTCAACAATAAAGATTTTTTTAAAAGATCATTGACGTTACATTTTAAAATGGGCAAAAGAGCCGAAACTGGTTTGGCTCAGTGGTAGAGCGTCGGTCTGTGGACTGAAAGGTCCCGGGTTCAATTCCGATCAAAGGTATGTACATTGGTTGCGGGCACATCCCCCGTAGGGGATGTGCAAGAGGCAGCTGGTCAGTGTTTCTCTTTCATTGACGTTTCTAGCTCTCTATCCCTCTCTCCTCCTCTCTGTAAAAAATCAATAAAATATATTTAAAAAAATAAAATAAAAATAAAATGGGCAAAAGAGCCTGGCTGGTGTTGCTCAGTGGTTGAGCATGGACCCATGAACCAAGAGGTCCCTGGTTCAGTTCCCAGTCAGGGCTCTTGCTAGGGTTGAGGGCTCAATCCTCAGTGGGGATCATGAAAGAGGCAGCTGTTATCTCTCTCTCATTGATGTTCCTCTTTATATATCCCTCTCCCTTCCTCTCTAAAATCTTAAAAAAGTGTTTAAAAAAGAATAATAAAATGGGCAAAAGATTTAAACATTTCACAAAAGAAGATAAATAATGACCAATAACCACACAAGAAGATACTCAGTATCACTAGTCATGAGAAAAATACAAACTAAAACCATAATGAGATAATACTTTACCTCCACCAGAACACCTGAAATTAGACTGACAATACAAATGTTTGCAGCTTGAACTCAAATATGTTGTTAGTGAGACTGCAAAATGATATAGTTCCTTTTGAAAACAGATTAGCAGGGTGTTGTTTTTTAAGTTAAACCTACACTTATATTATCCATTCATTCACTCCAGGATATTAAAAACATCAACATTTTCACTGTCATGATGCTGAATTTTAAAAAAGTACATATAATTTCATTTTTATGAGTGCCACAATAAGAAAAACTAATTGTATTATTTCTCTACTACTGCATAGCAACCAACCAAAATTTCAGAGGCTTAAACAAGACATATTAGTTATCATACAGTTCTGTAGGACAGAAGTCTAAATATTGGTCTCCTCGGGATACTGGCAGAGCTGCATCTTCTTCTGTAGGCTCTCAGTAGGGTGCATGTTCTTGCCTTTTTGAATGTTTAGGGGCTGTCTGCATTTCTGCTCTTGGCCCCCCTTTCCCCATCTTCAAGTCAGTGTTACACCACTATGACTTCCTCTTCTGCCTCCCTCTTCAACTTTTAAGGAGCCTTGTGATTCCAGTGAAAACCCTTTCAGATAATTCAAAATAATCCTCCTATTTTAAGGTCAACCAATTAGCAATCATATTTCTATCTGTAACTGTAATTCCCCTTTGCCATGTAAAGTACAGGTTCTAAGGATAAAATCTTGGGCATCTTTGCAGACCATTAATGTAAGGTGAAAAAAATCAAAATGTTGATTACACACAGTGGTGCGGTGAGAAAAATTGACTGGGAAGGGATGGATGTGTGGCAATTTTCTGGCAAAATAGAAATATCCTATAACATGATAGAGGTATATGTTATTTTTAAAATTTCCTTATTGATTAAGATATTACAGATATTACATGCTGTTGGTTCTCATCCCCCTATTCCCATATCAAACCCCTCCCCACACATGCCCCCATCCCCTTGTTGTCTATGACCACCGGTTAGGTTTATATGCACGCACACAAGTCCTTTGGTTAATCTCTCTCCAAAGTATATGTTATTATAAAGATGTGTTTATTTGTCAAAAGTACACAGCAAAGGTGAATGTATTTCAATGTATGTAAGAGTACTATTAAAAGTAAAAGCAAATGACAGGGGCATTGGGAATGGATGGAGGAATAGGTGAAACAAGGATGGCAGGATGTTATTTTTGAAGCTGGTAACAAGTACCTGGGAGCTCATTATTCTGTTTACTCTGTTTTAATTTGGGATTTTTCATATTAAAAAATTAAAAGAATATTCATTTAGTTCTAAATAGTTAAGTCCCTAAAAGCTATGAAAATGTTTATTTGTAAAATTGAATCTAATTTATTTCAAATTTAATTTTAAAATATCAAACTTTGCAGTAATAACTAATGTCTCTTTTTGGCAGCCACGAAGAACTATACTCAGGTCGCCCTTATGGAGCCCTTGATTCAGGTTTCAATAGTGTTGACAGTGGTGATAAGAGATGGTCAGGGAACGAAGTAAGTGTGTATTCTGTTCTGCATGCTATAACTCCTGATTAAGAGAAAATCAAATGATGAAAATGAAAAGTTTCTTAGTTGGGTTCAATTTCTTATTACATAAAATATACAGAAAAGCCAAAGGAAGGGTATAAATTCCATATAGTCATACCATCCAAAAATTGTTTCTTCATTATCTTTTTACCATGTGTGTTTTACATGTTTTTTTTTAATATGTATATTTTATTGATCTTACACAGAGAGGAATTGAGAGGGATAGACAGTTAGAAACGTTGATGAGAGAGAAACATCGACCAGCTACCTCTTGCACACCCCCACTGGGGATGTGCTTGCAACCAAGGTATGGGGCCCTTGACCGGATTCGAACCCGGGATCTTTCAGTCCGCAAGCTGACGTTCTATCCACTGAGCCAAACCGGTTTCGGCATGTTTTACATGTTTGTTACCTGGCCAACTCTCCCGCCTCTAAGGCAGTCGGACATCCCTCAAAGGCTCCCAGACTGCGAGAGGGTGCAGGCCAGGCTAAGGGACCCCTCTCACTCCACAAGGGCATGAATTTCGTGCACCGGGCCTCTAGTAGATATAAATACTTTAAGTTCATGTACATATGTATACAGGAAGGAGCAATTGAAGGTTTACAGTTGTGAATACACCAAACACAGAATTTATGCTTCTGCTATAGGCCCGGGGCATGGATTTGTGCACCAGTGGCATCCCTTGGTTTGGCCTGCGCCCTCTCACAATCTAGGACCCATTGGGGGATATTGGACTGCTGATTTCGGCCTAATTCCTGCAGGCCAAGGGAGCCTACCGGTGCATGAACCTGTGCACCAGGCCTCTAGTATGCATATAATCTCGCCCTCCCCGTTTCCCTCAGATTCATCAATCTGTTTCATGTTTCCATGTCTATGCGTTGAGCATCTGCCCCGTGGTGGTCAGTGTGCATCATGGCTACCAGTCAAACAATTGAGTGATCTCTTAGACTTTTATATATAGAGATTATTTATTAATTATTGAGTTATTTTCTATATGATCAACTATAAACCTACTTCCCCCCCCCTATATTTATAGTCATACATACCCTTCTATATCACCTAAGGATATATTTTTTATAGATCTGAGAGATAGAGAGAGAAACATTGATCTGAGAGAGAACCCAGGGATGGAACCCTCAACCTCAGTATATGCCCTGACAAGGAATCTAACTGGCTGTCTTTTGGTATATGGGATGATGCTCCAACCAGCTGAGCCATCCAGCCAGGGCCATTTTAACCATTTCTAAGTGTGCATTTTAGTGGCATCAAGTACATTCACATTGTTGAGAAACTTTCGCCACTGTGCATATCCAGAAATTTTTTCATAAATATAAATTTTCATTGGCTTATATTATATCCAATAGTTTTAAATATTTGGTAATCTAAAATGTGGAATGATATTTTTTAATATTTCTGCTATTTTTTAAGCCTACAGATGAATTTTCAGATCTACCTCTTCGAGTAGCAGAAATTACTAAAGAACAAAGACTACGGAGAGAAAATCAGTACCAAGAGAATCGAGGCAGTGTAGTAGTAGCAAATGGAGGTAAATATAATTCTTGATGACATTTGAAGTCTTTAGAATTATTCTAAAAAATGTTCTTTTTCACACCTACTCCTTTGGTTTGTGTATCTGTAATTTCTTCAGCTCTCCTCTTAAAAGACTCTCTTATATGATTGGGGGGAAAATGTTTTCTGTTGGGATTAAATTTCAATTTCTCTGAATTCCAGGCTTTCAGTTAAAATACGGAGCTTCTCTCTTTATTTTGGGAGGAAACTGTTAACAACAGTTTATCTGGATTAGATTTTTGTTAATCTTAATTTAATCAGAATTTTCTTTGAAGTACTAGTCTCCTTTCAAAGATTCTTTTTGTGGTTATTACTTTACCTCTTTTAGGAATTCACTGTTATTCTTCATGACCTTTTCCTTCATCTGGAATTGTGCTCTTCAAGGACATCTGAATCTGAGTCATCCTTATTCTGATATTTTAATATTTGTGATTTTAAATTGTATAATTGTTTTTATAGTTCATTAACAGACAGAACTCTTTTTGCTTGTATTTCTGTGGCAGGCTTGATTTTTGTATTCTACTCAATATTGCTTTAATTTGAATTTTTAAATTTTGATGGTTAGCCATAAGGGAAAAATGACTTTGATTTTCCAGAAATCCATTGTATTATCTGAGAAGAGGTTTAATCTCTGATTCATTATTTTAATTGATTTGCTAACTTTTTTTCCTACCATTTTATATTCTTTTTTTTTACTCCTGTTATTTAGCATTTCATTCATATTTTGGTAGTTTTCTTTTTAACCTTGCTTGTATATGTAATAGTCTTTCTCAATGGTTCATTTCAGCCTTAATGTCTATATCTTTGCTGTCCAATATAGTAGGCACTAGACACATGTGGTTATTGAGTATTTGAAATGTGACTTTTCTGAATGGAGATGTACTATAAGTGTAAAACAGATTTTTGAAGACTTTGCATGAGAAAAGGAATGTTAAATAATGTTTTATATTAATTACATATGGTAATAATATTTTAGATCTATTGGACAAAATAAAATATTAAAATTAGTCAACTTTTGACTTTTAGAAATGTAGCAATTAGTTAATTTAAAATTATATAATTGTTTTACTTTTGTGTCTTACATTCTATTTCTCTTGGAAATAGTTGGTCAAAATAGTATGAAAAGTGATATTGCATTCTTGGGAAGTAGTCATAAAATGAATTATTTAGTCACACAAGTTGTAGCACATTGGGAAAAAATGTACTTATGTACCTGTTTCTAATGTGGGTGTAGACCTTTTCATCCTTTTATCTATTAATATAAACTAGTAACTCAAAATTTATTTTCAGTTATATATATATTTAGAAGTAATTGAGTCAGAAAACTAAATTGAGAAGTACACTTCTTCAAATTTACTATTCCCAGAAATTGCAACTTTTAGTCAACTTATAGAATATCATACAATAATACCTGGGATTTAATATATCTCTAGAGAAACAATCTTCATAGCAAGTATTTTCTTTTCTAGCGTGCCATTTTAACTGGATTTTTAAATGGCTACTTTCTAAGCTTAAAAATAATGGGGTACTCTGAAACTTATCAGAAGAAACCAGTAGCCCGGTGCACGAAATTCGTACATGGGGGTGGGGGTGGGGTGTTCCCTCAGCCCAGGCTGTACTCTATCCAATAAGGCAGGGGTCCTCAAACTTTTTAAAGTGGGGGCCAGATCACGGTCCCTCAGAGAGCTGGAGGGCCGGACTATATGAACTACTAATTCCTACTGTAACACCTCGGCTGCGCTCACTGCCCAAAAAACCTGGCGGGCCGGATCAGACTCCTCTGCGGGCCGCAGTTTGAAGACGCCTGCAATAAGGGAACCTTCTCTCAATCTGGAACTGCTGCCTCCTAACCTCTCACCTGCCTGCCTGCCTGACCACCCCAAATTGCCCTCTCCTGCTGGCCTGATCTCCCCCCAATGGCCCTGCCCTGTCAGCCTGATCACCCCTAACTGCCTCTATCTTGGCCCCCACTACCATGGCTTTGTTTGGAAGGAAGTCGGACATCAGGAAGATGGCCGGTTGACATGTACTAATTAGCATATTAGTATAGATAGATTATATAGGATATGATTTCCTAAATAGGGTGGGGCAGCGTTTTTCAGAAGAAGATCCTCTTGGTAGACAAAAATACATAATTGCTATATCTGGACTGATAGCCAGCCATATGCATTATACTGCCAAACCAGTCATTAAAAAATTGAACCACTTTTTTTTTTTTTTTTTTTTTGCTAGAGATGCTTATTTAATCAGGTCAGAATATACACTTTTTTTTTTTTTTTTTTTTTTTTTTTTCTCCCAGAGAAATGAATTCCTAGAATTCTGCATGGGTGTGGTGTACTCTGCATGCCTATTACTTACTTTCTTTTTTTTTTTTTTTTTCCTGGAATTATTATTTTATTTATTTATTTATTTTTTGACAGGCTTGAACTACAATACCTTTCTTTATACCTTAAAAATACCTTAAAAATAATGAAATAAATGATACCTTTATTAATAGAAGAAAGGTATCATTTATTTTATTATTTTTTTAAATATATTTTATTGATTTTTTTTTTTTGCTCCCCTCCTTCGCTCCCACACATCCCCTCCCTCCCCAGAGTTTTGTGTCCATTGGTTGTACTTATATGCATGGATACAAGTCCTTCAGTTGATCTATTATCTCCCCCAGATCCTCCTCCCCTCCCTGCTGAAATTTGACAATCTGCTTGTTGCTTTACTGTCTCTGTATCTATCTTTTGGTTCATCAGTTTATAATGATCTTTATTATCCACAAATGAGTGAGGTCATGTGGTGTTTCTCTTTCATTGATTGGCTTATTTTACTCAGCATGATGTTCTCCAATTCCATCCAGGTTGCTGCAAATGATGAGAATTCCTTCTTTTTTATGGCAGCATAGTATTCTATTGTGTAGATGTACCATAGTTTTTGGATCCAATCATCTGCTGATGGGCACCTAGGCTGTTTCCAAATTCTGGCTATTGTAGATTGTGCTGCTATGAACATAGGGGTGCATATATCCTTTCTGATTGGTGTTTCTAGTTTCTTGGGATATATTCCTAGGAGTGGGATTACTGGGTCAAATGGGAGTTCCATTTTCAGTTTTTTGAGGAAATTCCACACTGTTCTCCACAGTGGTTGCACCAGTCTGCATTCCCACCAGCAGCAGTGCACGAGGGTTCCTTTTTCTCCGCAACCTCGCCAACACTTGTCGTTTGTTGATTTGTTGATGTTGGCCATTCTGACAGGTGTGAGATGGTACTGCATTGTTGTTTTGATTTGCATCTCTCGGATAATTAGTGACTTTGAGCATGTTTTCATGTGCCTTTTGGCCTTCCTTCTGTCTTCTTTTGAAAATATTCTATTTAGGTCCATTGCCCATTTCTTAATTGGATCATTCACCTTCCTTTTATTTAGTTGTATCAGCTGTCTGTAGATGTTGGAGATTAAACCTTTATCAGTGGTGTTATTTGCAAACATGTTCTCCCACACCGTGGGCTTTCTTGTTGTTTTGTTTATGGTTTCTTTTGCTGTAAAAAAGCTTTTTATTTTGATGTAGTCCCATTTGTTTATTTTCTCTTTAGCTTCCATTGCCCTAGGGGCAGTATCAGTGAAGAAGTTCTTTTGGCATACGTCTGAGATTTTGCTGCCTGTGGATGCTTCTAGTATTTTTATGGTTTCCCATCTGATGTTTAAGTCCTGCATTCATTTTGAGTTTATTTTTGTGTACGGTGTAAGTTGGTGATCTAGTTTCATTCTTTTGCATGTGTCTGCCCAATTTTCCCAACACCATTTATTGAAGATACTGTCTTGACTCCGTTGTATATTTGTGCCTCCTTTGTCAAATATTAATTGAGCAATGGGTTGATATCTGTGAACCACTTTCTTATACCTTACACCAAACAGCTGTTGCCCTTAAAACTTCTCCTCAGACCCCACCTTAGGTTCTGCCTTCACAGTTCACCCAGATTTGATTCTGATTGGTCAGTTTCTATGTCAGTGAGCGTCAAAAGCTCCACCTCCTAGGCAGCCATTGGCTCCTCGCAGTTCTCCCAGATTTGGTTCTGATTGGTTGGTTTCTATGCTAGTCAGTGTCTCCAGGCCTAATCAGAGATGCAGGGCTGATCAGTCTTTGAGGCTGCAGGCAAGGCCCTGAGAGAAAGAGGCGTGGCTGCAAGTAAGACTTGGGAAGAAAGAGAGGCGAGGGCTGATCAAAACTGCCACAGAGGCTGTAGATCAGACCCTGCTTCCCTCTCCAGGCCCGATCCGCAGCCGCCTCGGCAGTCAGTGCTGGGTTGCCATGCAGGCACTGACTGCAGGACTGACTTGCGTTGTTCAGTCATCCGTTTGGTCATTTTGGACGTTATGGACCCTGGCTCTTTATATATAGATATAATGATGTGATTTTATAGTTTATTTTTATATTTCGCCTCACTCCAAAACATTTATAGAATAAAAAATTCCACAAATGATTTTCTTTTATCCACAAACTGCTATAAAATATCTACAATGTTGACCTCTAGAAAATCATTTTAAATCGAAAATCTTTGTTCTGGTTTTGGACAGCAGTTACAGGAAGGGAAACAGTAGTCAGTATCTATTTCTTTATCTCCAAGTTCACTTTCCTCCAGTTCTTACTCTTTTCTTTTAAGTTGATTGTGTTAAGTTTTCTGCCTCCCACCTCTCAAAGAGAGGTATGATTACACCCCAAATCTAAAACGTGGGGAAAGAACCTAAGATAAAATGTATCATCTGATGTTTAAAAATTATTCTTTCTGCCCTATCCGGTTTGGCTCAGTAGATAGAGCATCAGCCTGTGGACTGAAAGGTCCCGGATTTGATTCCGGTCAAGGGCATGTGCCTTAGTTGCAGGTGCATCCCCAGTAGTGGGTGTGCAGGAGGCAGCTGGTCAATGTTTCTCACCGATGTTTCTTTCTTTCTTCTTTTTAAAAAAAAATATATCTTATTGATTTTTTACAGAGAGGAAGGGAGCGAGATAGAGAGCTAGAAACGTCAATGAGAGAGAAACATCTACCAGCTGCCTCTTGCATACACCCCTACCGGGGATGTGCCCACAACCAACATACATGCCCCTGACCGGAATTGAACCTGGGACCTTTCAGTCTGCAGACCAACGCTCTACCACTGACCCAAACCGGTTTTGGCTCTCATCGATGTTTCTAACTCTCTATCCCTCTCCCTTCCTCTGTAAAAAAAAAAAAAGCAATAAAATTTTTTTAAAATAATAATAAAAAATAAAGATTAAACCAGTAAAGAGCTATCCAAGGAAAAAATAAATATTAGAGGTCTGTATTCTAATACTTATCAATTACTATATGCTTTAATGAATTAGGACTAAGATTTTTCTGGAGACTATTTTTGTAAGTGCCCATGGACTGATAATAAAGGTTTACATAATTTAAACTTCTCATTTCTTCCACTTTCAGAATAGAAAATGTTAGGGAAAAGGAAAAAATGCAAGGTAATGTCTTTGATTAACTATCTAATTTGAATTTTTTTTTTCCTGATGTGTGTGTGATGTGGACAGTAGAACATGATCTGGATCAAATTGACTACATTGACAGCTGTACTGCAGAGGAAGAAGAGGATGAGGCGAGACAACGCAAAGGCCTGGATGCAGACAGCCTCAGTTCACAGTTTATGGCATATATTGAACAACGGCGAATCTCTCATGAGGTAGTACACATTTTTAAGCCTAACTATGTTGCTACTCTCTAGTATAATAAAAATAACTTATGGTAGTATAAATTTCTGTCTATCAGTGATTTGTTGGTTTAGGCCTTATTATTTGTTTTATTATGTTCAGTTCCAGTTTCATTACTGAATTTTTCAGATTTGTTTTTAAAAATCAGACAATAGTCTCAAATAGGGTTTAGGTTTATTTTCTAAATAAAAAGACAGATTTCAGAATTTTTTAAAAAGAATTTTAAAAAGTCCTAAGAGTATTCTATGCCTTTGAAGTAAAGGCAAAGGAATGTGATGCTTTTAATTGTTGTTCTTACCACTTTTTTATTGTTACATATTTTGATCAGTAACTAAGAATTGAACCAAACCGGTGACTTTCAGAGCGAAACTTAACCATAGAATTTGTATAACCGTAGAATTTGAGCTTAATGATATTGGAGCTTTTAATATCAGTCACACGGAATATAAATTGTTTGCCAATAAAATTCTTGGATGTCCCTTATACTGGAGCATTGAGTTGCCTTATAAAACAAACGAGCATTCAGTCCACTGCAAGGACTGTTCCAATTCCCAAAAGGTCTCAAATAGAAATAGCATTCTTCAATAAATCTTGTCAGCATAATAAAATGGCTCCACTTTAGTTTGTGTGCTGTTAATGTCTGGTGTTGGTCCCAGGTTCTGAGCAGGGGGTATTGAGAAACACTTGGGCCTTTTGGAGGAGGATGAAATAGAGAATAATCATTTCAAGTGGGACATGTTAGGGAGTGCTATTATCATTCTTTTAAAAATTCCTTGCCGAAACCGGTTTGGTTCAGTGCATAGAGCGTTGGACTGCAGACAGAAAGGTCCAGGTTCGATTCTGGTCAAGGGCATACATTGCATGCCGCCTCTCATCCAGGAGATGCTGGAGAACTCCGAGGGCCTGGACACTCTGAGCGGACAGCCGGGGGGCGGGGGGTCTCTTTCATTGATGTTTCTGGCTTTCTGTCCTTCTCCCTTCCTCTCTGTAAAAAATTAATAATATATATATTAAAAAAAAAGCATAGGTATTTAAAAAAAATCCTTTGGTTTTCCTATCTAAAGGCTTTTGAACACAATATTTTTATTGTTATTCAGAAGGCACTCTTGTATTTAAAGTTGAATATAGCTATATAAATCAGAGTCCTGCAGCCCAGAGATATCAATGTGTTAGAGGTGATTAATGGAACTACTTGTGGTTCAGGCTATAAACATCCCTGCTAGAGCAACTACTTTATAATAAAGTTAAAACAACAGTATACACTATAATCTTTTTTTTAAAAAATACGTTATTTATTTATTTTAGAGTGAGAGGAAGGAAGAGGAAGAGAGAAAAACATTGAATGGCTGCCTTCTGCACTCCTCCGTCTGGGGATATACCCTGACTGGGAATCAAGCCAGCAACCTCCCAGTACATGGTTTGATGCTCAACCACTGAGCCACACCAGCTGGGCAACAATGCACACTACAATCTTAAAGGGAATCCTTTTTATTTTCTTAAGCTCGCTTTGATTATTTTATGGTTAATTGGACTGTATACATGAGGTATCTCTACTAAAAGTGATAATGCCTATTACTCTGCTGGTGAAAAATAATAGCACCACTTCTTCAATCCATTATATTGGCCAGTTTGTAATAATATATTTTTAATTCTTGCTTCCTATTATGTATGGCAGTCTGTATGTCTGTCATAGGCTCTTTATGACTTATGTTTCATAAAGCTTTCTAAAATTTGGCATCTATAAAAATATGATGAAGCAACCCTGGCTTTGTGGCTCCGTGTTGTCTCATACACCAAAACATTGCAGGTTTGGGATCTGGGCACATACCTAGTTTTCAGGTTCGATCCATGGTCAGGGTGCAACCTAATGATGTTCCCCTCTCTCTCTCTCTCTCTCTCTCTCTCTCTCTCTCTCTCTCGCTCTCGCTCTCTCTTTTTCTCTTTTTCTTTCAAAGCAATTTAAAAGAAAAACATTTTTAATGTGATGAAGCAGTATTATTTTCGATGGTTTAATAACCAGTGAAGCCCTAGCCAATTTGGCTCAGTGGGTAGAGCGCCAGCCTGCGGACTGAAGGGTCCTGGGTTTGATTCTGGACAAGGGCACATACCTGGGTTTCGGGCTCAATTCCCAATATGGGGTGTACAGAAGGCATCCAATCAATGATCCTCTGTCATTGTTGATGTTTCTTTCTCTCTCTCTCCCTCTCCCTTACTCTCTGAAATCAATAAAAATATATTTTAAAAAATAACCAGTGAAGCTTTTTTATGTTCTTGAATACTATCTGAAAATGGATTAAGATACTAATCTATTTGATATTTTAAACACTCTGCTATTACTTGATTTCATTATAAATCACATATCTAGAAGTATGATAAAATAGGGTATGACTTGTAGAATATGACTTTTTAAAATTAAACCAATGTCATATACATTTTGTTGTGAAAATTTCATCTGCCTCTTGGAATAATTTTAAATACTAATTGTAGTGTAAAACAGTGATGAGTCACTGATGTTAACATACTAGAAGAGATTTTTGTTTATTTTTAAAGAATCCATATTTAGTAAAATTAGAATGATTCTCTCGTCAGGATTATATTTATATTTATATTTATATTTCATTTTATGATTTATATTAAATGAAATTTATATTTCATTTTATGATTCTCATGCCCAGACTTTAAGGGAGTCAGCTTTAGTTAGCCCTTTGGAATAACTCACCAAAGATATTTTAGTCATCTGTGATGTACCTATTTCCTGGAGCTAGACTAGTTTTACATTTAACTTTTAGATACACTTTTTAGATAAGTTTTTTCCCCCCTCAACAATATACATTTTTATGATTATTTTTGGTGTTGAAATAAGATTGTATTGCTTCTATAGATTTTCATTTGACAAAATACGTTGCTGTGATAAACTGCAAGTTTCTCCCTTTGTAATTTTTTTTTTTAGTATGTGGCCCATATTGCTTAAGTCAGTTTAATTTTCCTTAGTAATGTTTTTTGAAATTATCTTTACCCTTTAGTTTATAAATAAATTAAATTGCCAGTATTTCTCTTTTAATTAATATTTTGCCAAAAGAGAAATTACTTTTCTCTTTATCTTGATATCCCACCAACATCCCAGGACTATATAGATGACAAACCTGAGTTACAATTGGTGATGATGAAAAATTAAAGAAATGTCATCTGCCAAATAAATTTTTTATTACTAGAAATAGTCAAAAGAAGCTAAGTAAAAGTTAAGGCAGATTAGGTAGGGATTTCTGTGGATGGAGGTTTGTACTGGATGACCTCTAAGATCTTTTCCAATGCTAACATCTTATCATTGATTTATACTGCATGTCCACTATAATTTATATAATAGAGTGAGAAGGAAATCTACTTTTTTGAAAATAAAATAAACATTTTTGGATTATGAGTAGTTCTGTCTTTACCAAAGCAGTAAGATAGCCTATATTCCTTTTTTTATTTTTATTTTTTAAAATATATTTTATTGATTTTTTACAGAGAGGAAGGGAGAGAGATAGAGAGCCAGAAACATCGATGAGAGAGAAACATCGACCAGCCGCCTCCTGCAACACCTCCTACTGGGGATGTGCCTGCAGCCAACGTACATGCCCTTGACCGGAATCGAACCCGGGACCTTTCAGTCTGCAGACCGACGTTCTATCCACTGAGCCAAACCGGTTTTGGCCCTATATTCCTTTAAACATAAATATTCACATTTGAAATTTTTGTTATAATATTATAATATTTTTAGTTTCTAATATATATGTATATATATGTATTATTATTATTTTAATAAATATTGTTCATATTATTACAAATGTTCCTCTTTCCTCCTCCCCTCCACTGCTCCCCTCCACCAGGTTCCCACCCCACCCTCTGCCCTTTTCCCCACTCCCCATTGTCCTCATCCATAGGTGCATAATTTATGTTTAGTCTCTTCCCACATCCCCCTCTCTCCTTTCCCCCAAGCATCGTCAGTTCACTCCCCTTCCATACCTCTGATTCTATTATATTCAACAGTTAATATTGTTCATCAGTTGTTGTTTTTTAATTTCCTTGGTTTTTAGATTCACTTGTTGATAGTTACGTATTTGTTGTTCATAATTTTTATCTTTATTTACTTTCTCTTCCGAAACAACCCCCTTTAGCAATTCATATAGTAATTCTGGTTTGGTGGTGATGAACTCCTTTAGCTTTTTTTTATTACTGAAGCTCTTTATCTGGCCTTCGATTCTGAATGATAGCTTTGCTGGTAGATTATTTTTGGCTGTAGGTTCTTACTATTCACCTTGAATATTTCTTGCCATTCCCGTCTGGCCTGCATGGTTCTGTTGAGAAATCAGCTGACAATTGTATAGGTGCTTCTTTATAGGTAACTACCTGCTTTTCTCTTGCTGCTTTTAATATTCTCTCTTTGTCTTTTGCTCTTGGAATTTTAATTATGATGTGTCTTGGTGTGGTCCTCTTTGGATTCCTTTTGTTTGGGGTTCTGTGAGCTTCCTGGATTTGTAAGTCTATTTCTTTCCCCAGGTGGGGGAAGTTTTCTGTCACTATTTCAGTATGTTTTCGGTATATAGCTCTCTCTCATCTTCTGGGACCCCCATAATTCTGATGTTGGTTCGCTTGAAGTTGTCCCAGAGTTTTCTTACATTATCTTCAATTTTCTGGATTCTCTTGCCTTCTTGCTTCTGCGGAGGAGTATCTTCTGGCTCTTTATGTTCCAAATCTTTGACTTGATTCTTGCGATTTTCCATTCTGTTTTTAGGACTCTTTATAATATTTTTTATTTCAGACAATGTATTCTTTATTTTTTGTTGAGCCCTTATTTTTCTTTTGATTCCTTATTAATTCTAGTCAATCCCTTTTCATATCTTCATAGGTCTTATCGGCCTTTTCTAGGAAATTCTTGAAAAACCTTATAAGTGTAAATTTGAACTCTATATCCAGTCACTTTTGTCCTCCATTTCTTTCGTTTATGATCTGTTTCGTTGTCTCGGCATTTTCGCAGCTTCCCTGATGGGGCGGAGTTTCAGGGGGGAGCCTACAGCCTTGGCTTCCCTCAGCCCTGCCCTATGCAGCTCCTGAGTCTCAGTAATCCCCAGGGTCCTTCAGTACTCATTGCAAGCACCTCTGAGAGAAAGGTGCCCTCGATTTTCGCCTGCTACCAAACTGTCTAGGCCGGGCGTCCTCAAACTTTTTAAAGTGGGGGCCAGATCACGGTCCCTCAGAGAGCTGGAGGGCCGGACTATATGAACTACTAATTCCTACTGTAACACCTCGGCTGCGCTCACTGCCCAAAAAACCTGGTGGGCCGGATCAGACTCCTCTGCGGGCCGCATGTGGCCCACGGGCAGTAGTTTGAAGACCCCTGCTCTAGGCTCTCCCCCAATGAGCCTGGAATTGGGGTTCAGTTCATTTGGAAGTGGAGTTGCAGGTGGTGTTCAGAGTAGCCCGGAGCTTTTGTCTCCTTCCTGCCAGAGCAATCCCGCGGCATAGCCAGTCGTCCCTTCTCTGTGCGCAATGTGCGTGCCTCCGGGACCTCCTTTCGCCGCTCCCCCGGGATTCTGCCTTACAGCCCGGCTCCCTTTGAATAAGCCTGGGTCCCCAGGGTCTGGCCTAGAACTGGGATTCAGAGCAGTCGGAACTGGGGTTCAGCACAGTCGGAGCTTTTATTTCCTTCCTGCTAGGGAACGCCAGCCAGGCACTCAGCCGCCCCTCCTTTCCGGCTCAGACCTCTCTGCCCACGCAGCGTGTCTCAGTACCTTAGGCTTTTACAGCTCCTCCGCTCTTCCTTCTGGTTTTCTCCTTGCTTCTCCTTGTAGAATTTCCAGTCAGTCGACTTTCCTGTAGTACTGGGTAATGTCCATTTTATATTTTAGTTGTATTTTATTGAAATTATTGTTTTCGCCTGCGGCTAGATGTTTACCTGTGCAGCCATCTTGGATTCTCCTGCGAGCCTGGTTTCTTCAATATATATATAAATATATTTCTAAATGTCAAGTTGAATGCGAACTGTGTAATCACGGTGTTCTGGATATATATTTAAATTGATTTATTTCTACTTTTTTTTATGTAGAGTTCACCAATAAAGCCAGTACCCACGAGGGAGTTTCAAAAAACAGAAGACATAAGAAGATATTTATATCAAAACAGGTTTGAAAAATCAATTCTATTCATTTTTTTCTGTCCTAACACTCAATAAAAAGCATGAAATGATTTTAGTTTTATATAGATCTGTGTATAAAGAAGACATTTAGATATCGTGTGTTTAAGACACTCAGTATTTAGATCTTTATGATAATATTCCTTAGTGCTCATGTAATAGCAAAACAAGTAAAATTGATTTATTGTTTCTAAATTGAGATCACCTAAAGCATTACCTAAACAATTATTTGATTTGAAGATACCATGTTTCCCCGAAAATAAGACATCCTCCGAAAAGAAGACCTATTTATAGGTTTCCTTCTGAGTGAAATATAAGGCATCCCCCTGAAAATAAGGCCCCCCTAGGCTAAACATGAGAGATTTGGTCCACTGGTTCTCAAAGAAATGGAGTCACAAGAAATTCACCAGGAAATTCAGGAATTAGATTGTTATGATGATGTTCCAGAAGATGATGACATGATTGTCATTGAATAAATGAGTAAATTCTTGATACTGTAAGATTCACAGTTTGTCTGGTTTGTGTTGACAACTACCGTACTACCGTACCGTATACAGGTAATAAATTTCCTTTATTTTCATTTGACAATAAATGTGTACCGTATTCTTCTTCATGGAAAAATAAGACATCCCCTGAAAATAAGACCTAGCGCATCTTTAGGAGCAAAAATTAATATAAGACACTGTCTTATTTTCGGGGAAACGGTAGTTAATAAGATGAGATTTTTGTGGTGACAATATGGATTTATCCATAAAGAGAGCTAAATGAAATTTTTAGCCTTTGTTTTTTTTTTTCTTCCTCTTCGTTTTTATGAACTCCTAAAACAGTAGACTTGGCATACCTATTCCTTTTTTTTCTTTTTTTAATATATTTTTTTTATTGATTTTTTTACAGAAAAGAAAGGAGAGGAATAGAGAGTTAGAAACATTGATAAGAGAGAAACATCAATCAGTTGCTTCCTGCACAACCCCTACTGGAGATGTACCCACAACCAAGATACATGCTCTTGACTGGAATCGAACCTGGGACCCTTGAGTCCTCAGGCCAACGCTCTATCTATTGAGCCAAACTGGTTAGGGCGGCATACCTAATCTTAAAACAATAGTATATTTAGTATGTCATACATAGTTCTTTACTTATGCTTGACAGGATATTATAGTTTAGGGCACTAAGATAGAGAGGGATAAAGAAAATGGGGAGACTAATTAAAGAAATGTATAACTTGGCCTTTTATAGTTTCATCAGTCAGTTCATAGTGATTTAGTTAAATTTTGTATCTTTGAAATTTATCTCAAAATGACTTTTTAGTTGCCATGTCTACTTTTACTGAGAGTGTAGTGTTTTAAGATTACAATTTAGGGATTTCCTATTACATTTTCCCATTTTGAATGGACCTAGACTCTATCTCCTGGCCATGGTAGTTCCTATATTCATCACAATTAAAGCTCAATATCTCTAGGATTTAGTATAAACCCTCAAGGTGAAAACCAGCTTTTTAGCCCAGTTGCCTTGTGTAATGGTTTCTAATGCTTATGTAACAAATTATCACAAATTTAGCAACTTAAAACACATTTATTATTCTGCCGGGTAAAAATCTGTATAGGATCTCCTTGGTTGTTTGCTTTGAGTCTTAAAAGGCTGAATCAAGGTATTACCTGGCCTGGATTCTTATCTGGAGACTCTGGGGGAGAATCCCCTTCCGAGATTATACAGGTTTTTGGCAGATTGCATTTCTGTGCCGTTGCAGACTAAGGTCCCATTACCTGGTTATCTATCAGCTGGGAGTCACTTTCAGCTTCTAGAGTCCACCCACATTTCTTAGTTCATGGCTCCTTCTATATCAAGCCAGCAGCGATGGACCAAATCCTTCTCACATTTTGAATCTCTGATTTCCCTTTCTGCTGCATCTCACAAACTGTGTTGCCTTCCTCTTCTTTAAGGGTCCATTTGATTATACTAGGCCCACATGGGTAATCTCCCCATTTTAGGTCAGCTGATAAGTAACTTTAATTTCATCTGTAAAGTCCTTTCGATGTGCAATGTGTTCACTGGAGTAACACCAGATGTGGGGATGATAGGGGCCAAAAATCTGTCTATTAAACCTTAATCTAGAGTTCCTGTTTTTATTGATTTTTATAATCTGTGAATTCTTTTATTTTCATGGCACTTTAGCAGTGTGTTTTAAAATACTATTTTATTCAACATTTTAGTTGTTTCCATTGGAAGAATTATTCAGAGTGTGTAATCTGCCACAGCTAGGCACTGTAGCCATGATTATAATCCTCCCTCATCCACAGGGGATTGGTCCCAGGACCACTTCGGATTCCAAAATGTGCAAGTCTGAGTTTGCTCTCCGTATCCCCAGGTTCCACATTGGGAGATCCAACCAACCATGGATTTAAAATGTTAGTTGAGCCTGGCCAGTGTGGCTCAGTGGTTGAACATTGATCCATGAACCAAGAGGTGACCAGTTCGATTCCTGGTCAGTACATGTGCCCAGGTTATAGGCTCGATCCCAAATAGGGGGCATGCAAGAGGCTGCCAATCCATGATATTTCTGTCATCAGTGTTTCTGTCTCTCTTCCTCTCCCTTCTCTATCTTAAAAAATTTTTTTTTCAATAAAAACATATATTTTTAAAATGTTGGTTGAATCCTGATGCAGAAACCACAGATAGAGAGGGCCAACTATACTTTGAATTGTGTGTTTCCAATCACAAGACCTTAATAAAGTCTTTGAATGGGAGCTCAATAACCAGTTAATCTCTCAGATCAATGCATACAGTTGACCCTTGAAAACCATGGGTTTGAACTGCACAGGTCCACTTATACATGTTTTATTTTTTTCCCTTAATAAATACCTATACTGTTTTTGATTCACGTTTGGGGGTCCACTACACCATTTCATATTTTAATAGGTGACATGAATATCCGTGGATATTGGTATCGCTGGGGATGGGGCTAGAACCAGTTTGCCAGGGATACCAAGGGACAGCTAAGTTTGGTGTGCAAAAGTTATACTCGGGCCAAAACTGGTTTGGCTCAGTAGAGTGTAGGCCTGCGGACTGAAAGGTCTAGTCAAGGGCATGTACCTTGGTTGCGGGCACATCCCCAGTAGGGGGTGTGCAAGAGGCATCTGATCGGTGATTCTCTCTCATCGATGTTTCTAGCTCTCTATCCCTCTCTCTTCCTCTGTAAAGAATCAATAAAATATATTTATTATTAAAAAAAAAAAAGTTATACTCGGGCCCAGCCAGTGTGGGTCAGTCGATTCCCAGTCAGGGCACGTGCCTGGATTGCAGGCTCAATCCCCGGTAGGGGTTGTGCAGGAGGCAGCCAATTAATGATTCTCTCTCATAATTAATGTTTCTATCACTCCCTCTCCCCTTCACGCTGAAATAAATAAAAACATACATTTTTTTTTAAAGTTACATGCAGATTTTTTTGTAATGTATTTTATTGATTTTTTACAGAGAGGAAGGGAGAGTCAGAAACATCGATGAGAGAGAAACATCGATCAGCTGCCTCCTGCATACCCCACTCTGGGATGCACTTGCAACCTAGGCACATGCCCCTGACAGGAATCAAACCCAGGACCCTTGAGTCCGCAGGCTGACACTCTATCCACTGAGCCAAACTGGTTTCAGCTATATGCAGATTTTTTACTTTGCAAGAGGGTGGGGGTTGATATTCCTAACTGCCACGTTGTTCAAGTGTCAACTGTACTTCATTTTTTCAATTAGATATTTGCTCAGTATCTATGTGCTACTTCTGTGTGCCAAGTACTTTTCCAGGTATTTGGAAACTGCTGCAAACTTTAGTCAAAGTTCCCATCCTCATCGCGCTTTTATGCAAATGGACTTGATAATTAGAACCTACAAAACAACATCACCTCTAACTACTGGCAACTTCAGGCTACCAAAGACCTGTGTTATTAACCAAAATATCAGTCCTCAAGTTACAAAGACTCAAAGGAATTGAGTCAAACTACTACTTGCCCATTAGTCCTTGCTGAAAAGAAAGTTGCTTACTTTCTTCTCCCAATTCTCCTTCCCATCCCTTACTCTCCATGTACATTGCTCCCCACCTGTCCCTTCCATATACACATAGTACTTGGGAGAATAATAAAGGTAGGGGGATAGAGTATGATAAATTGTTAAGTATTTTATAATTATTTGCCAAGGGGGATTAAATAAATGTAAAGTCAAAACTAACAAAAATTATTGTTTTTGAAAGTACTTATTATCTAAATGTCATTTTAGTTCAGGAGAGGTGATAGTATCACGCTAAGTCTTGTAAAGTTTATTAGTTTATATTGGAAGCAATATAGAATTAAAAACCATTTAAAAATCATAGTTTAAAATTTCAGGTCCTAAATGTCAAAAAGTCACTGTTGCAACATTGTTAGTTTTAAAGAGACAGATGAGTAAGACAGATGAGAGACTTGAAGCATCAAGTCCAGTTCAGGAAAAAGATAAATACCAAACTATAAAATTAACACTGATAAATCTGAGAAGCAAGTCTTATTATTTTTTAAGCATTAAATCGGGTTTCATCATTTTCTTGAAAATAAAACCAAAAGTATCTTTACTTTTGCTCTTAAAATTGCTTTGTCAATTGAAAATGAGAGTCGGAGTTCTTTGCAAGTACAGTTACCAGGTTCTGTAGTATTCCACATGTCTGTGGATAAATTACTTTGTATATAAAAAGATCTCCATTTATATGTATCTTGTTTCAATCATGGTAGTAAAAAAGATAACATTTATGCTATAAAAAATGATACTGTTTGAAAGTGATCTCAAATAATTGCATTATCAGCATTGGCTGATCACAGACAGTTGTTAGCTGTCTATAACATGATCAGTGATATCATCATGTGAAACATGAGTTGAAGACATCAGGTAGTCCTGTAGCTTAATTTAATGACTTGGGCTCAAGTTTACAAAATTTATTTAGCCTTTAAGTGCTCACTAGACAGTTTGCCTGCTGGTTAATAGAAAGCTACATTAACAATGAAGTTTCACTTGTCTTTTATGTATCTTTCTCTTATCAAAGAGGATTTTTTTCTTTCTCCTTTTTCTTTTCTGGGTCAGGGTTCCAGTTGGGCCACTTTCTTCACTGTCACCAAGTCAAAATCAGGTAAAAAAAAAAAGTACCATTTTAGTTTTTATTATTTTTAAACTAAATTGGTTTTCCTTTTTTATAATACTTAAGTTACTATTAATTGCCAGATATCTGTGAACTTCACTACCTGTCTCCTCAGACATACAGTTAATATAATATGTACACCTGATACTTGCTAACTGTTTTTAGGTACCAGATAGAAAATAAATCTTTATCCACATGATGGCTTTATCGTATACTAGTGGCGCGGTGCACGGGGAGATAGGGGGGTCCCCTCAACCCAGCCTGCACCCTTCCCAATCAGGGACCCCTTGGGGAATGTCCAACTGCTGGTTTAGGCCTGTTCCAACGGCTGGTTTAGGCCTGTTCCCTGTGGTAGTTGGACATCCCTCTTGCAATCTGGGACTGCTGGCTCCTAACCTCTCACCTGCCTGCCTGATCATCCCTAACCACCTCTGCCTGATTGCCCTTAACCTCTCTGTCTGCCTGCCTGAATGCCCCTAACTGCTCTCCCCTGCCAGCCTGATCACCCATTACTGCCTCTGCCTGCCTGATTGCCTCTAATTGTCTTCCCCTGCCTGGCCTGATCTTTTCCCCCAATTGCCCTTCCCTGCAGGCCTGATCTTGCCCCCAATTGCCCTCTCCTGCAAACCTAACTGCCTCGGCCCCCACCACCATGGCTTTGTCCAGAAGGAAGTCAGACATCCGGAAGATGGCCGGTTGACCCATTCTAATTAGCATATTACCCTTTTATTAGTATTGATTATATAGGATAGGATTGCTTAAATGGGGGACATGGGGAAGCCTTTTTCAGCAGGAGGTGATGCTCTTGGTATACAAAAATACATAATTCCTTTATCTAGACTGATAGCCAACAATATGCACTATACTGCCAAACCAGTCATTAAAAAATTGAACCGCTTTCTTATACCTTATACCAAATAGCTATTGCCCTTAAAACTCCTCCTCAGCCCCTACCTTAGGTTCTGCCTTTGCATTTCACCCAGATTTGATTCTGATCGGTTAGTCTATGCCAATCAGTGTCAAAAGCTCCACCTCTTAGGCAGCCATTGGCTCCTTGCAGTTCTCCCAGATTTGGTTCTGATTGGTCAGTTGCTCTGCCACTCAGCATATCTGGGTCTGATCAGAGTGGCAGGGCTAATCAGCAGCTGCCCCAGGCTGCTGGTGAGTGGGCTGAACTGCTGATCTCTTGAAGAGAGAGAGAGAAGCGCAGCTGCTGGCAAGACTCGGGGAGAGAGAAAGGCAAGGGCTGATCAGCTACCACAGAGGCTGTGGAACAGACCCTGCTTTTCTCTCTCCTGGCCTCTCTAGCAGTCGTAGCAGCTGCTGATCAGCCCCGCCTCTCTCTCTCTGAGAGGTCAACAGTTCAGCCCACTCACCAGTCCCCACTCACCCAAGCCCACTGCATGTGCAACCTGGCGTTTGGTCGTCCCTTCAGTCGTTTTGGGTGTTACAAACCCTGGCTCTTTATATATCATATATAATAAAGAGGTAATATGCAAATTAACCCTCATGTCCTAACAGGATGGCTGACTATCACCAGGCATGCAGGGGGGTTAGTGAGGAACAACCAAATGATTAAACAAACAGGCTGTGTGGGGCGACCAGGCTGGCAGGGAGCGCAGTGAGGGGTGAGCAGGCAGGCAGAGGGGGAGCAGTTAGGAGTGACCAGGGTGGCAAGGAGGGGGCAGTTGAGGGTGACCAGGCCGCCAAGTGGGGGCAGAGAGCGGTGACCAGGTCAGCAGTGGGGGACAGTTAGGGGCAACCAGGCAGGCAGGTGAGCAAGTAGGAGCAATTGGTCCAGGATTGTGAGAGGGATGTCCAGATTGGAGTGTGCAGGCTGGGCTGTGTGAATTTCATGCACCAGGCCTCTAGTATATACTAATCCTATCTAATAAAAGTATAATATGCAAATTGACCATACTTCTGTCATAGCCACAAGCCACGCCTATGAACCAATCAGGAGCAAATATGCAAATAAACCTATTGTAATAAGATGGCTGCAGCCACAGAGAACAGGAGGGAGGTTTGGGTTTCCCCAGCAATGGAGGAAGCCAACCTTTCCACCTGACCTTGTCGGCCTAGACCTCCATTCGGTGCTACAAAGTGTAAATTATAGAAGGCAAATAAATCCCAACAGAAATGGTGGCAGCCGTGGATCTGTAAGAGCAGGAGGCTAGGGTTGCCCCTGTCAGTGGAGGAAACCAAGCTTCTGCAGCCCTGGCCAGCCTAGGCCTCCACTCCAGGCTACAAAGTTTCAACTGTAGAAGATTAATAAATTCCAGATATGGGGGGGAGGGAGAGGGTCGGCCTGCAAACCACCACAGGCCCCTCGCCTAGGCTGCCCCAAACCCCAAAGGGAACCCCACCCTAATTCAGGACACACTTCAGGGCAAATCAGCTAATCCCCATCCATGCACCAGCCCTCTATTCTATCTAATAAAAGAGTAAGATGTAAATTGACCATCACTCCAACACACAAGATGGCTGCCCCCATGTGGGCAAAGATCCTGCACCCATGTGGACACATGATGGCCACCACAAGGAGGCCAGCAGGGGAGGGCAGTTGATAGGTACCAGACCTGCATGGGAGGGCAGTTGTGGGCAATCAGGCCAGCAGGGGACAGCAGTTGGGAGGGACCAGGCCTGCAAGGGAGGACAGTTGGGAGCGATCAAGCCTGTAGGGGAGAGCAGTTAGGGTGATCAGGCCTACAGGGAAGGGCAGTTGGGGGAGGGGGGCCCAGACCTGCAGGGGAGAGCAGTTAGGGGGGACCAGGCCTGCAGGGGAGAGCAGTTGGGAGGGACCAGGCCTACAGGGTAGGGCAGTTGGGGGTTACCAGGCCTGAAGGGGAGAGCATTTAGGGGCAAACAGACTGGTAGGGGAGCAATTAGACATCCATCAGCCTGGCAGGGGATTGGTTAGGGGGTGTTTAGACTGGCAGGCAGAAGCCGTTAGGGGCAATCAGGAAGGCAGACAGGTGAGCAGTTGGGAGCCAACAGTTCTGGATTGTGAGAGGGGCCCCAGAGTGGAGAGGTTGCAGGCTAGGCTAAGGAACAGTCCAACCCTCCCACCCCCTCATGCACAAATTTTGTGCACCAGTACTTTATTAAAAGAAATAAAGGAGTAAGATGCAAATTGACCATACCTTTGTGACCCACCAGCCAATCAAGAGTGAGTATGCAAATTAACCCAACAAAGATGGCGCTGAGTGGCCGGGGAGGGGCAGGATGCAGGCATTCTGCACTGCCCCAACCACTCCAGGACTCTGGGCAGTGTGGGAGGCGGAAAGGCAGCTCTGGCCCAAGCGAAGGCGGTACCCGCAGCCAGGGCAACGAAGGCCCGTTCTTGCACGAATCTTCATGCGTTGGTCCTCTAGTATAGATAATAAAAGGCTAAAATGCAAATAGACCAAATAGTGGAACAACCGGTCATTATGATGTGCACTGACCACCAGGGGCAGACGTTCAGTGCAGGAGTTGCCCCCCGTGGTCAGTGCACCGGGCCTCTAGTAGTACACAGTGCAAAAATGAGAGAGAAAAATAGCAAAGTTGAAGTTGGGTCAGTAGTTCTCTAAATGGATAAGTTAGTCTTTATTCCCACTTGCATATGCAAACTGATTTTTGTTCCAGCTATCACATACAGACTTAGAACGTCATCAGAGAACAGAACACTTAGTAGAGTGCACTAGGAGAGAGGCACAGCTTGCTGCCCTACAGTATGAGGAGGAGAAAATAAGGACCAAGCAGATTCAGAGAGATGCTGTCCTGGACTTTGTCAAAGTGAGTCCTTTGAATTTCATTGGATGATATTCCTAAAGTTTCTTAGAAGTGTTTATTTGTTTTGCTGAAGCTATCAGTTTTTATTATCTTAATTAAATGGTTGGCTTTTTTTCCTCATATAAGGAATATTGAGTAAATACTACTGGTGTAATTTTTTCCTATTTGTGATTAGATTAATTGTCCTCGTGTAGATAGGCCTGAAGGCAATTAGAAGTTGTGATCTTGCTCTTCAAACAGCAGTCTCTTCCTCTTAATTACCAATCACTTTATTATCTAGCTGCCATTCTCTCAATTTTTAGTGCATTAGTTATGAAAATGAAAGAGCCTTGCAAATATTAACTGTTGTTATCTAACCTATCTCTAATTTTCTCACTTTTCCTAATACCAAAAATTTAAGAGATTCACAGGCCTTTTTAAAAAAGAAAGAGTTTCTTTAAAAAAAAAAAAGACAGACTGATTCCAAACCCTACTCTATGACCACAATAATGGCTAACTCATACTATGTCCTGAGTGCTGTTCTATGCATTATTTTTGATATTTTTAAATTAATTTTGAGAGAGAAACATCACTGTGAGAGCAAAACATCCATGGGCAGCCTCCTGCACACTCCCTCCTGGGGATCGAGTCTGTAACCTGGGCATGTGCCCTGACTGGAAATCGAACTTGTGACCTCTTGGTGCATGGGACAGCACTCAACCAACTGAGCCACACTGGCCAGGCTATGCTTGCCTTTGGAAAGTTACTGAACTATTTTGTGCCTTTAGTTTCCTTATACATGTAACATTGAACTGTTAAATATTAACTATTTCAGAATTATGGATACATCTAATACTTGTACTATGATGGTGAGCATTACACACCCTACCATCACAGTAGATTTTAAATATTATAAGAGAGATTTCAAGAAAAGCATTATTATATCTTATACATAAACTAGAGGCCTGATGCATGAAGATTCATGCAAGAATGGGCCTTCCTTCCCCTGGCTGCCGGCACCGCCTTTGCTCTCGCCAGAGCCGCCTTTCCTTCTTCCCATGCTGCCCAGAGTCCCAGAGCAGCTGGGACGGTGCAAAATGCCTGCGCCATTGCCATGGCAACAACACAAACCTTCCACCCTTCTGTATCCCCCCTCCGCCTGTATTTGCAAATTAACCTGCTATCTTTGTTGGGTTGATTTGCATACTCAGTCCTGATTGGCTAGTGGGCATTGCAAAGGTATGGTCAGTTTGCATCTTATTCTTTTATTAGTTTAGATGAGTAGGGGAGGGAATCCCAAAGCAAGAATTTGAGGCTAAAAATGATGGTTTTAATACGAGTCTAGCATTGGGAAAAGAATGTAGGATTTGGAGTCAGAAGACATAAATGCAAATCTGTTATGCCACTTAAAACTTTACAGCCTTGCATATGTCACATAACCTCTCTCATTCTCAATTTTCTCATCTCTAAATGATTATGATGTTTGTTTATTTCACAAAGTAAAAAGAAGAATCACTTGAGAGATACTGTACATAAGAACACATTGTAAAGCACTGGCTATACAGATGTTATATGTTTTTATTTGACATAATAACAGAAATTAGCAAATTGGGAAAAAGAGTCGGTTAGTTTGGAAAATTGTGAGTTTGTTTCTGGATGTATTGAGCATGAAGTGAGAGTGCAGTTTCCAGGTAGAATTGTATCCTCAGGCGGTTGAAATGCAAATGTGAAATTTGCTGATGGTTGAGAGCTCAAGCTGTTAGCCTTAGAGTGATATCTAAGCCATTAGAGAAAGAGAATGATTTCAGTATGAAAATGTAGTGAGAGATCACTACTTTGTGAATGTTTGTATGCATGTGTATATAAAAAACATAGTTATAAAATTTTCTATATATAGATGTTTATAGACATGAAAATACTGTTTGTTATTTTATTGCCTTTCCTCATTTCAATTGTAAGCTATTTCAGGGAAAGAACAATATCTTCTAACCAGTAAATCTAGAAAAATGTTATACATAAGAAATACCGAATATGATTATTTTAGTAAATAGCATTTATCATTTCTAGTGTTTCAGCTTCTAACCAATTTCCCTTTTTTGGGGATGGGGGGTCTGTAGCAGAAAACCTCACACAGTCCACAAAAACAGCAACACTCCTTAGATGGCGAGGTAAGTCTTTATAATCACCTTTATTTTGGATTTTTTTATTGCAATGGAAATGAAATGTTTTGACATGTGCTTTCAGTGATCAAAATATTGGTATTTTCCCTTTTCCCCTCACAAAATTCTTTTTATTGGATGGAAGAAGACACAAGCCAGGGAGTTTATCAGAATCTGTAGATCAGAGGGTTTTAAAAGTATACACATCCATCTGGAGATTATTTATTTCCTTCCCTATCCCCACCAGAGGGATCATCTTCCTCATCCACCAAGCATGTCACATAGTGAGAGTCCCAGAGGGGGATCAGGCATGGCTGACTGGTGTCAGTATTAAACAAAAAAGACTACATAGTATTTTCAACCTCATTGCTCATTTCCTAAGCATGTATGTTATTTATCATACTTGTACACTTGTTCACATAAGTTAACACTTCGTTTCCCCCCCTACATTTCCTTCTTGATGGTCTTTCTAGAGAATTCATTATCTAAAAATTAAAGCTTTTCAGGAAAATAACAGTTCTAAAATTTTCAATTATACTTTTGTTTTGTCTGAGAAAGGTAATAAAGAGATACCTAAACTAGAAATCATGACTCTTGGGTTGATTGGTTTTTTTTGTTTTGTTACTGGCTCACTAACTGACAAATTCTTCATGTTACTGCACCATCTGTACTTCAGCTTTCTCTTCTGTGAACAAAGAATAATCCCTGTTCCCTCTTTGCTTTAGAAAGTTTATAGGCAAATATGATCATATTTGAAGTTATTTAACCTCTTTGGAAGAGAATCATTACTCAAAACCAACTTATTAGCTCTTATGGTATGTGAATCAAAATGATATTGAATGCGGTCCTATATGTTAGCATCTTCACAATTATGTCTTAATATGGCTCTTTGCTTGTGTATTTGTGAAATATGTCATCTGTTTGCACAGTTTGTTTTGACATTGTTTGCAGTATGTTTTGACACTGCTTCATTTTTTCCACCTCTCCAGTGTCCTTTCCCATCCAGAAGGTCTCAACACACTGATGATAGTGCCTTGTTAGTGGTAAGAGCCTTGCACAAAATGGAGTTTTAAATTGCTGTGTCTAGAGATTAGAGAATAGCGATTGTATTTTTCATTCAGAAATAATCTCGATGTCATAAAACATATGGGGCATCATTACTAAATGCTTTACAAAATAGCTTGAACTGTTTTCCTACATTACTATTCATGATTTATCCAGTGGTCCAGTGTTCTGCAACCATGATTAAAATATCTTGGTTAATGTTGCAAATGTAAACCATTTGCATTGTGGACCATATTGGCTTTGTATGTGTGTTGGGAGTTTTTTAAATGTCATTTCTAATTCCAGGTGCACTTATTTTATTAATAATTAATTTAACTCATGAGTCACCTGTGTGTTAAATGGGTTTCTTTATGATGCTAATTATACAGCTGTGTATTTAACATTCTGTTTTGTCATTTCTCTTAAGCTACTGAAAATCCCAAACCTGAAAAAATTGCTTACATCTCCATGCCCATTTTTCCATTCAAGGGAAACATTAACTTGGAATGCTATCTACTGATCCTTTTTAACACTGGTTTACTTTTATTGCCTGTTTCATCAGCCAAAATACAGTGTATTATGAGAACTTTATTGAAAGTTTTACTTTTATCAGCCTTGAAAGATAATTCTAACCATTTACATATTGCTTTTCACATCATGTTTTATGTTATTTTTTCACAGTAGTATTGAAAACTGGCAGTTCAAAAATCTGCTGTGTATGTCAACTCCTGTCTTATGTGTTAGTAACTGCTGCCATTGTGCATACTATTGCATGAACTGCATACTTCAGCATGAGAGTCCTAGTATGTTAACTTCCATTGTCTGTCCAAATTTCTGTGTGTTCTGCAGTCATCATTTCCTTTGAGAAATAAAGCACATTTTAACTGGGCAGTTTTATAGATAAATGTAACCACAATTTCTGAGTTTTAGTGGAAATTTATTGACATGAGAAACAACTAATAATTTAAATCAATGCAGAGATATTGAGAGCCTTTGATGGTTCAGGCAGCTTACCAGAATTATCTCATTTTCTCCTCACAGCAACCTTAAGGTTAGTTTATCACCATTTTACAAATGATTACTGAAGCACAGACACTGGTGTGTCTTGTCCAGAATGTAACTTGCCAAGGGTAACATAGCTAGAAAGTGCCAGCCTGGATTTAAGTCTAGATTTGGCTGACTGGGGAACCTGCATTAAACACCATGCTGTATTGCCTCCCACACTATAATTGAAAATAATTTTGGAAACCAGAGATGAGATTTAAGGACATATTCTATCTAATAAAAGAGTAATATGCAAATTGACCGTCACTCCAAGACACACAATGGCTGTCCCCATGTGGACACAAGATGGCCGCCACACGATGGTCTGCAGGGGAGGGCAGTTGGGGGTGACCAGGCCAGCAAAGGAGGGCATTTGGGGGAACCAGGCCTGCAGTGGAGGGCAGTTATGGACCATGAGGCAAGCAGAGAGGGTAGTTAGGGGTTACTGGGCCAGCAGAGGAGGGCAGTTGGAAGAGACCAGGTCTGCAGGGGAGAGCAGTTGGGGAAGACAAGGCCAGTAGAGGAGGGCAGTTGGAGGGGACCAGACCAGCAGGGGAAGGCAGGTGGGGGGGGGCAGCCCGCAGGGGAGGGCAGTTAGGGCTGACCAGGTTTGCGGGGGGGTGGGGCAGTTTGGAGGGACCAGCCTGCAGGGGAGGGCAGTGGAGGGGACCAGGCTAGCAAAGGAGGGGAGTTGGGAGGGAACAGGCCTACAGGGGAGGACAGTTGGGACAACCAGGCTGGCAAGGGAACAGTTATGCGTCAATCAGGCTGGCAGGGGAGTGGTTAGGGGTGATTAGGCTGGCAGGGGAGTGGTTAGGGGTGATCAGGCTGGCAGGGGAGTGGTTAGGGGTGATTAGGCTGGCAGGGGAGTGGTTAGGGGTGATTAGGCAGAAGCAGCCAGCAGTCCTGGATTGTGAGAGGGATGTCTGACTGCCCATTTAGGCCCAATCTCGGTGGGATCTGGCCTAAACAGGTGGTCAGACATCCCTCAAGGGGTCCCAGATTGGGGAGAGTACAGGCTGGGCTGAGGGACATCCCTCCCCACCTTCACCCCCGTGCACAAATTTTGTGCACTGGGCCTCTAGTATAGGGATCCCTCAGCCCTCTCTGCCGTCTCTCACAGTCCAGGAGTCCTCAGGGGCAGGAGGTGACCCAGTGATCAGGGGAAGGTGACGCCCCACCACACCTCTGCTGCTGCCACTGCCGGCAGTGCAAGCTTCGGCCAGCCCTGATTACCTGGGTGGCCCTGGGTGACTGGGCAGCCGTCATCCAAGGCTTGCCTGTGTCTTGGGCTGGCCTTGGGCAGCTGGGCAGCCTCCATTTGAGGCTTGTCTGCACCTCAGGTGTCAGCTGGGTAGCCACCATCCAAGGCTTGCCTGCACCTTGGGCCGGCCCTGGGTGGCTGGGGGGCTGTAGGGATGGGGGGACTCCAGAGGCAGGCGCCCTGGCGGAACTGAGGGGACTGGGCACTGCCATCTTGTAGCTATGGACGCTGTCATCTTTGAGGGTGTGACAGTCAATTAGCATATTCCCTCCTTATTGCTAGGTGCCGCCATCTTTGTGAGGGTGTGATGATCACTTAGTATATTCCCTCTTTATTAGATAAGATAAATCTGAATGCCCAGACTTTTTTGTCAAGGAAAAAGTGGGATTTGAAACAATACAAGTCCCCTTAGCATGAAATTTGAAATGGCCTTTAGCCATTTCAAAATACATACACTTGTATTTTAGTTATCAGTATTCATGTCTCCCATAATGAGATGGCCTTTACTCTTTCTTCCATCTTGGAGCCTGAGGAGGCCTGCTTGGAACAGGGCTTCCATAGCAATAAACATGACTGGAGACTGTGGTTCAAGGCCATTTCGCTGGCCATCAGTTGCGTCTCCAGAACCAGAGGGCCCACACAGCTCTTCTTGAAATTGAAGGTGTTTATGCTTGAGGTGAAACTGAATGCTCTCTAGGCAAGAGATATACTTAATGTGTACAAACTAAGGAATAACACACTGTGACTTCTGGTGGCAAACCGAACAAAACCAAAGTAATCTGGGGAAAGTTAACTTGTGCTCATGGAAACAGTGTCATGGTTGGATCTAAATTCTGAAGTAATCTCCTTGCTAATAAGGCCATTGGACACAGAATCTGAGTAATGCTGTACCCCTCAAGGATTTAAACTTATTGAAGAGCAAATAAATAAAATGGATTTGTTCTCTTGTTTAAAAAGGTGGGGGGGGAGGGTGCCAAGAGCCATGTCTCACATATTTTTGTGTGCCAAATAGTGTCCAACACTACAAAAAAAAAAAATCACATTTTATTTTTTAAAATTATTTTTAACATACATTATTTTTAATTGATTTGATAGAGGAAAGAAGAAGGAGAGAGAAAGAAACATCAGTGATGAAAGAGAATCATTGATCTGTTGCCTTCTGCATGCCCCCCACTGGGGATAAGTATTAGTAATATTTAATGTCAGTTGTACTCACATTCTCTTGGAGCTGCTCTTCAGGTTTCTGTTGCTTTCATCTGTGTCCCATCTGCATCTGTATCCCTTCCACTCCTTTTTTTCTTCTTTGCCAAAAATAATGGCTTTAGCCCTTTTATATTTGAAATTGACAGTAATTCTAGTACATTGTGGTAGTGTCACCAAAGGAAGTATGCATGATGCCAAAAGAGGTAAAGAATTATAAATTTACTAGGGGCCCAGTGCACAAGTTCATGCACCTTGAAAGGAATTGTGGGCTGCAGTGGGCACAGGGGCAGATCTCAGCTCATCCTCTGCACTCCCACCTAGCCCCTCCTGCTGCTGCCCCTTGGTCCTCTGTCTGCCAGCAGCCCCACTCCTGCTGCAGCCACTCTCACGGGCTAATGGCTCTGGGCACTGCTCAGACCCACTGACAGCCTGGAGTAATTGGTGCTGGCACCAGCAGTGGATGCAAGCGGGGCCGGTGCCGTCAGTGGGTGCTAGTGGCAGCTGCTGCCCTCGTTGCCCCTCAGGAGCAGGGGAGGTGAAAAAGTCCTAAGGGAAGATCGGGGCTGGCAGCTGCCACTCACACCTGCTGACGGTGCTGAGCATTTGGGGCCTGCAGCCGCTGGACACTGACAACGGGTGTGAGTGGCAGCTCCAGCACCCGCCATGTTCCGCACACACTCTCTGGTGGTCAGTGCACGTCATAGTGACTCGTCGTTCAGTTGTTCTGCCATCCAGTCTATTTGCACATTAGCCTTTTATTATATAGAATTAAGTTATCTGGAAACCAGATGGCTGAGCCCCAAAATGGCACCAGAACCTAGGGATGGGGAGACAGAGGTTTTTAAGGACTCTAAGTGGGCTTTTTTGGCTGGGGATTCCCTGGGGAGGTCCAGATCCTGGGCAAGTCAGAGATAAAGTTACTAGTCTTAGCAAATGGAATGTGGTCTAAGTCAGTGTTTTTCAACCTTTTTTGGGCAAAGGCACACTTGTTTCATGAAAAAAATCACGAGGCACACCACCATTAGAAAACGTTAAAAAATTTAACTCTGTGCCTATATTGACTATATATAAAGTAATTCTCTTGAATAGGAATCAAATAAACACAAAGAAAGTATTTTATAATTACTTTATTATGAAATATTAAGTAAACAAAATAGTGAAAAATTATAAAGTTCTTGTCTTGTCTGCACTTACGGCACACCAGGCAACATCTAGTGTGCCGCGGAACAGCGGTTGAAAAACGCTGGTCTAAGTGAAAGGGAATATCGGTTGGGAAATTATCTAAAGATCAGTTTCTCAGGGGAGGAGGTATGGATTCACTTATTTGATGAGACCTAACAATTTGATTATAAGGAGTTCCAGGAAATCTCAACAGGTAAAGTATACACATTGTATTACTGTTGTTCTTTGGTACATTTCTTCACTTTTATCTGCCTTAAGATAGATTATGCTGTATTGTATATGCTACATGCTTTGGGATGGGGTGAGGGAAGACATTGCTATTAACTCTCATTAAAAATAGTTGTATTTTAGCCAAAACCGGTTTGGCTCAGTGGATAGAGCGTCAGCCTGCGGACTGAAAGGTCCCAGGTTCAATTCCCATCAAAGGCATGTACGTTGGTTGCGGGCACATCCCCAGTAGGGGGTGTGCAAGAGGCAGCTGATCGATGATTCTCTCTCATCGATGTTTCTAACTCTCTATCCCTCTCTCTTCCTCTCTGTAAAAAATCAATAAAATATATATTAAAAAAATAGTTGTATTTTATTGACCATCTACACATCTTTATTTTCTAAACACCCGCATGTGTTCTTGTTCATCTGTCCTATGATTCAGATATTTATGTTCCTAATTTAAATTTCTTAAAATTATTTAACTAATAAAGTCTTTAAATCATTAAGCCTTTGGCATTTTGTTGTTTTAATAGGTACTGTCTTATACAACATCCTTTGTGAAAGCTGTCTTTGATTTCCATCCATCGCCAAATGAAAAAATTATGTTTTGAGCAGCTTTTATCTGTAATCAAAATTATGTACAATAAATACTATCTCTAATTAGTTACATGTAGGATGGTGAGTGAATAGAGGATTTAAAGAAAAGGACTTGCTCATAGGTAGAAATGAAATGCTGGTTCATCCTTAAGGTGTGATGCAGAATTCTCATGTTCTGTCTTCTCACATCAGAACTATTAAATATATTACATCTAATTTGGATTAATTTTGAAAAAATATTCTTTCATGCTGGTTCTGCTCAATTAAAATGACCTATTTGACTGGACTTTTTTTTTCTTCTGTCATGGGAACACTCTGAACTCATTAGTTTTAAGGCTATTTTGCTAAAATAATCACACATGATGTTCTCAGTTTTATTTCTAAACTAGAGGCCCAGTACATGGATTCATGCACTGGCAGGGTCCCTCCGCCTGGCCTGCAGGGATTGGGTCGAAACCAGCTCTCTGATAATCTCCTGAGGTGTCCCAGATTGGGAGAGGGTGCAGGCCAGGCTGAGGGACCCCAATGGTGCATAAATTTGTGCACTGAGCCTCTAATATGCATATAAGGTCTTTGGTTAATTTCTTCCCGCCCTCCCCCTTCCCACTTTCCTTCTGAGATTCATCAGTCTGTTCCATGTTTCCATGCCTGGGGTTTCTGCTCCTGCGGTGAGAGTCTGTCCCCTAGTGGTCAGTGTGTGTCATAGCTACTGGTCAGTCGGCCAGTTGCTTAGGCTTTTTAAAATTTTTATTTACAGAGAGTAAGGGAGAGGGATAGATAGTTTGAAACATTGATGAGAGAGAAACATCAATTATCTGCCTCCTGCACACCCCCTACTGGGGATGTGCCCACAACCAAGGTACATGCCCTTGACCGGAATCAAACCTGGGACCCTTCAGTTCGCAGGCCAATGCTCTATCCACTGAGCCAAACCAGTTAGGGCAGGCTTTTATATATATAGATAGGGTTACTCCCCCCCACCCCCACCCTTATTCTTTCTGCACTACTAATATCTTAGTACACCATTTGAAAGTTTGTAAATGATCTTTCCTTTTCTGCTTGCCTGCCTGTCTGACTTTTTTTTTTCTTTTTTTTTTTTTTTTTTAAGTTTGATATTTAGAGAGAAGGGAAGGAAGAGAAAGAAACATTGATGTGAGAGTAAGACATCGATAGATTAGCTGCCTCCTGCATGACCTCCCTTACCCCCACTGGGGATCTAGCCTGTAGCTGGGGCCTGTGCCCTGACAGGATTCAGACCAGCAACCTTTTCGTTCATCAGATGATGCCCAACCAAATGAGCTACACTGGCCAGGGCCTGCCTAACATTTTGCTAACATAAATCCTGCCTTCTCTTTCTCTTTTGAAATTTAGTTGCTGTCAGGGTTGAAGCAAGCGGGCTGTGCTGGTACCCTGCCTCACTCTTCTGCCTTCAAGCCCCTCAAGGTATCTTTTGTTACTGTAATTTACCGGGAACTTTGTGGGGTGGTATGTGTTGAGATCTTAACTTTTCCAATGGATTGTTCTAACAGTAAGCAATCTGGCATCTAAGATTACATGAAATGTACTTAAACTATTTGAGTTTAACATTAATTTCACTTGAAGTTTTATCATACCAGAAACAGTCATAAATTCTTTATAAATATCATTCTCATTTTTAAAAAAATATATTTTATTGATTTTTAACAGAGAGAAAGAGAGAGAGATAGAGAGCTAGAAACGTTGATGAGAGAGAAACATCAACTAGCTGCCTCTTGCACACCCCCTTCCGGAGATGTGCCCGCAACCAAGGTACATGCCCTTGACCGGAATCGAACCTGGGACCTTTCAGTCCGCAGACCGACACTCTACCACTGAGCCAAACCGGCTTCGGCTGTTCTCATTTTCTTATCAGTAGTTTTTCTTTTGTCATGACTTATTTTATTTTGACTAATATGTAATATCAGATTTACTCTGATACTACTGTACATGCAAAGCAATTTGAGTTCCAGACCTCAAACTATTACTGCCAAAACCCTCTACCGTGGCTCTAGGAGATCCGTTTTGGTAAATAGTTTTGCAGCTACTCGGCCACTGCCATTTGCTTATATATTATCTGTGGCTGCTTTTGTGCTTAGCAGCACACTTGGAATAGTTGTGAAGGAGATCATCTAATCTGGAAACCTAAATAAAAAACCTGTAGGATATTATTTTTTAAAGGCCCATAGGGATGGTAATTCTATCTTTGTTATCATATCACACATAGAGATGATTAATAATCCTTACTGTCAAGATCCTCTCTTTTTCTAACTTCTATCTGTCCTCCTGTGGCTTATGTTTATTTCTTTCCAGAGTGGAGATTTTCTAGTAAATAGCAGTCTTCAAATGTTCTTTTTTTTTTTTTTTTTTTAAATAAATCTTTGTTGTTCAGATTATTACAGGTGTTCCTCTTTTTTCTCTCCCCATAGCTCCCCTCTACCTGATTCCCCTCCCCACCCCATTCCCTTAACCCCCACCACTGTCTTTATCCATAGGTGTAAGATTTTTGTCCAATCTCTTTCCTCATCCCTCAGACTCTCTTCCCCCTGAGAATTGTCAGTCCCCTCCCTTTCTATGTCCCTGATTCTATTATACTCATCAGTCCATTCTGTTCTTCAGATTTTTTTATTCACTTGATTTTTAGATTCACTTGTTGGTAGGTATTGTATTTGATGTCTTTTTGTTGTTCATAGTTTTTACCTTTACCTTTTTCTTCTTCTTCCTCTTCTTTGAGAATACCCTTCAGCATTTCATTTCATTAGTAGTTCAAATATTCTTTATATTTGAAAATTATTATGATGTCATCCTTGTCTTTTCCTTAAATAAACTCTGATCCTTTTACATGCTTTCCCCAGCCTTAGGAACTTTCACAAGTTCTCTGCCTTTCATTTTGGCTCCACTGTCTCCAGTACAAATATCTCTCTCATTAGAGCTCGCCTGGGGCTGAGCATAAGACAAGGATTTTTCACACTTCTTACAGAGCATTAGGTTGGCCTTTTCCATTTCAATATTAATTTTCTCAGTATCTGTTATAATTCTCAAATGTTTTAGTTAAATGACAATTTAAATGATAATTTTTACATCTTTAAATATATATATATATATATTTTATTGATTTTTTACAGAGAGGAAGGGAGATAGATGAGAGAGAAACATTGGATCAGCTGCCTCCTGCACACCTCCGACTGGGGATATGTCCAGAACCAATACATGCCCTTGACCGGAATCAAACCTGGGACCTTTCAGTCCACAGGCCGACGCTCTATTCACTGAGCCGAACTGATTTCGGCTACAATTTCTACATCTTATATCTTTTGTTTTCCAAAATACTTAATTTTGATTTTTTTGAACATTTTTACATATATATATTGATATATATTTATATATATATATGGAATAATCTCTACCTTTTTTATTTCTCTGTTTGTGCCATTGGTCCTTGAACAAGTCTTTAGCTAATCAGCTTTCTAGCTCATAGTTTTAAAAAATAAGGATAGTCTTTTGTTTCTTTATAAAGATATCCAGCTTTTGCCTCATTTGCCTATAAATTTCTTTTAGTAGTTCCTCGTTATTTTAAGTTAAATTTATTTAAATTCCATTTCTTCTCAACATTCTAAATTTAGTTTATTGCCATCTGTAAACTGAACATGTTCTCTTTTTCACTAATGAGAATGTTGTATATTACTTTACTCAAGAATGCAGCTTGCTTTTTGAATCTTAGTTCTCAGACTAAAAGTGTCAGATCAAGGAATAGTTACCACAAAATTGTCTTTTAGAGCAGTCTAAGAATTTACTCAACAGCATAGCCCCTATTTATGTATTTATTTTAGCAGTTAAAATTCCATTTCATTCAACCCAACTCCAATTAGAAATAAAAGATTTCTGGAAGTGCCTTAGCTGGCTTGGCTCAGTGTCGGTCTGTGGGCTCAAGGGTCCCGGGTTTGATTCCCACCAGGGGCACATGCCCTGGTTGCGGCTTAATCCCCAGTAGGGGTCGTGTAGGAGGCAGCTGATCAATGATTATATCTCATCATTGATGTTTCTCTCTGCCTCTCCCTGTCTGAAATCAGTGAAAATCTATTAAAAAAAGAAAAAAAGATTTCTGGAAGTAATGAAACAAAAAAGGGTGGGGGAAGGGATGGGAGCAGATATGTATGTGTATTTTAAAGTTATTCTGTTCAAAATGTGTCATAGTTATTGTAAAGTTATATTTAAAGTTTTTAGTATAATTAGATATCAAGGTCTAAAAAATTATTTTTCTAGTATCCTGTTATTCTTCTACATCTTTAATCCAGCCAACACTTCTTTTTTTAATTTTTATGTTTTTATTGATTTCAGAGAGAGGAAGAGAAAGGGAAAGAGGGATAGAAATATCAATGTTAAGAGAGAATCATTGATCTGCTCCCACCTACATGCCCCCTACTAGGGATCGAGCTCGCAACCCTGAGCATGTGTGCTGACCAGGAATCGAACCATGACCTGATTCATGGGTTGAAGCTCAACCATTGTGCCATCCTGGTTGGGCCCAACATTTCTTTATATATCGATATATATATATATATATATATATATATATATATATATATATAAATAAATATATGTGTGTGTGTGTTTATTTATTTTATTTATTTATTTATTTATTTTTTTGAGAGAGAGAGAGCAGAAGGGAAAGGGAGAGGAGAGATAGAAACATCCATGACAGAGTAATATCAGTCAGCTGCCACCTACACACCCCTACTGGGGAGGGAACCCACAACCTGGGCATATACCCTGACCGGGAATTGAACCAGTGATCTCTTGGTTCATGGTTTACGGGTACTCTCAACCACTGAGCCGCACTATTCAGACCCATTAGTTTAACTACATTTTTCTTTATTTAGGTAATTCACCTACCTCTTCTTCCTTTTTATAGTTCCTTTGTTCAATGAATTAAAAACAGCTTGGATTCAAATTCTAGTCTAGAAATACAGCTATCTGTAATATTTAAACACCTTGTTTCCTAACTGAAGTAAAAAACTTTTATCACTCTGACTTAACACATTAAATTTTATTCTGCAGAGGAGAGGGAAGAATACTTTAGAAACTATACCAGAAAAATACTAAAAAGATATTATTTCCTGTGCATTTCCCAATAAATTATTATCTTTTCTCAGTTATAAGAAAGGCTTATTATATAATAGGACTGTCTTGAGAGAATGCAATACATAAACCTTGTATTCTATAGAAATAAAAAATTTGGCCTTAAAAAAAATACATATATATCACACACATATATATATAATCCTTAACCTTTTGGCTAAGATCTTGTGTAATACCTATTTTTATAAGTGTAAAAAACATATAAAATTAAATCAATAGTCTAAATTTTCATTTCTAGACTTAATTTTGAAGGAAAGTTGCATGGTTTTTTTTCTCTTTTATAATCCTAATGTTCCCATAAATATGGAGAATACCTCTTCTTGAATAATAAGTATTGATATATCTTTTTCTCCACAGAATGGTGACAGATCTAATGCTATATCAAGTTCACCTACAACAGAAACAGGTAATAGACACACAGGTGCAGTTCATCACATCAAGATTGTAATTCTTTACCAGGATTTTCCTCATAAAGTATTCTTTTTTTCAATTACAGTTTGCATTCAGTATTATTTTGTGTTAATTTCAGGGGTACAGCATAGAGGTTAGACAGTTACATACTTTACAAAGTGCCCCGCCCCCATCCCCAATATTTAAAGTACCCACCTGGCTGATAAATTACCTCTTAGAGATGAGAAATCAGACACAATATTGGGAACTTTCTGTACATTTTAAATTTTTTAATTCAACTGGTTGTTCAACTATTCAGCTATTTGGTATGAACAAATGAGCATGAGCTAGCAGTGCTACAGGTTTGCAAGAGACTATATTCAATATATTAACATTCAGTCTACCTTTACTGATATACCAAAATAACACGACAATTAAAAATACACACAAGCTGCCTTCCTGCTGTCAGGGTTACGTTTCTGTACCAGATTTTGTACTAACAAAATTATTATCCTTTTATATCATTGCCATATTTAATTTTTTTTCATTTATTGAACTTTTGTGACATGCGTCTGTTACATATTTAATGATTTTCCATCTCTTTTTATCCAATTTACTTTCCGTGCTGATTTAGTTCATCATTCTCCTGCATATTCTTTTCCTGCTGCTACCCAGAGAAACCAGCCCCAGCGTCCTGAAAGCTTCCTTTTCCGAGCAGGTGTCAGGGCAGAAACAAACAAAGGTAGGAGGTCGTGACTAAGGGGGGAGGAGGGAATGCTTCATACAATGACATGTACTGTCACATGCTTTTAAACTACCCTGAGTTGTCACCTTGGCAAGAGCTTTGGATTCTGCATTTATCTGTGATCTCACAGACATGAAAGCAGGAGACTCTTGTTTGAACTTGTTGTTTTTAATTTTTTTAAATTGATTTTTCAAGAGAGGAAGGGAGAGACAGAGAGAGAGAAACATTGATGTGAGAGAAAACCATCAGTTGGTTGCATCCTGCACTTGCATCAACTGGTGATTGAATGTGCAACCCCAGCATATGCCACAACCAGGAATTGAACCCTCCGCCTTTTAGATGTACAGGTTGACACTCCAGGCAACTGAGCCACACTGGCCAGGGACTGAATTTGTTTTAATTAGAAAGTTTCTTGGCCCTGGCCAGGGAACTCAGTTGGTTAGAGCATCATCCCAAAACACCAAGGTTGCAGATTCATTCCCCTGTCAGTCAGTATACATCCAAGAATCAACCAGTGAATGCATAAATAAGTGGAACAACAAATTGATACCTCCCTCTCCCTCCCTCCCTCCCTCCCTCCCTCCCTCCCTCCCTCCCTCCCTCCCTCCCTCCCTCCCTCTCCCTCCCTCCCTCCCTCCCTCCCTCCCTCCCTCCCTCTCTCTCTCTTTCTCTCTCTCTCTCTCTCTCTCTCTCTCTCTCTCTCTCTCTCTTTCTCTCTCTCTCTCTGCCACTCCTCCCCTCTCTCCCTTCCTCTCCCATCCCCACCCTTTCCCTCTCTAATAGTTTTGTGTGTGTTTTTTTAAAGATAATTTCTTTATACCACCTAAAAGCAGGTTATAGTGTTTGAACAAATAAAATACTTTTTTAGGGCTTTAGAGAATGTTTCTCTTCTCTATAATGAGCTCTCTTACAGATTTTTTCTTTCTATGTGCTTAAATAAATGAATCTGTAATTTTTTTCTAATTTTTGTGTGTGTGTTTTTTTTTTGTTTTTAGTTAATATGAAAAATTTCTGCCTGGTCCCAAAAGAAATTACTACCTGGAATTAAAAACAAACATTTCAAGTCCAAAAATATTTTTAATGTAACTAATAGTTGCACTTGCAGTGAGATTTAAAATTAAACCAGAGACATACTGCTGATGAGATTATAAATTAGTATGGAAAACTTTTTACATTATCTACTAATGTTGAACATCTGTATAGCCTATAACTAGCAAATTTGCCTTCTGAAATATTTATACATGTATACCAAAAGATATGTACAAAAAGATTCATAGCAACATTTTTCATAATAGCCCCAAACTTAACGTCTATCAATGATAGAATGGATTAAAAATTGTGGTATATCTATACAGTGGGATACCATATAAGCAATGAAGATTATCAAATTAACATATACAACATGGATTAATCTCTTAGTGTTTATTAAAACAAGACACAAAAGCATGCACACATAAATATAATTTCATTCATAGAAAGTTCAAATATGGACGAAACTATTGAGATGTTAGGATTCAGGAAGAGGTGGTAGGAACCTGTGGTGGTAGAAATAACCTTTGGATACTGATGATAGAGCTTAAGAGGAGCTTCTGGGTGTTCGTAATGTTGCATTTATTTACCTGGTTGTGTCCACTTTGTGAAGATAATTCATTGGGTGTTCGTTTATGATTTATGTATAATTTTCTGTATGTGTGTTATTTTTCAATAAAAACATTATGAAGTGGATGTGATTAAACAAAAGTAGTTGAGCCAAATGGGAATGGACATTTGTTGATTTTTTATACTATTCTCACTTTGATTTTGTGCATTTGAAAATTAGCATAATAAATTTTTAAAGAGTTAATCCAGAAGTAGAAAGTGCTATACTTGAACGAAAACTGTGAACAGGTGGATCAGGTTATTTTTCCAATATTGGCAAATCACCTTTCTGTATGACATGAATGTTTTTTAGGTCATGGTTCAACCCTTCTTTCATCTTCTGAACCTACCACGGATTCTACAGATCCCATAACAAGACAGAATTCAAGGCAGAGAGAAGAAGAACTGGAATCAATAGATCAGCTACGGAAAGTGTGTACAGTACCTTGAAATTACACTTTTTCATTATAATCCTGTAATCAATTGTTTATGTGACTTACAATTTTTAACAGAGTAAAGAAGTACCCATTGTGTGATGAAAGTAAAAGTAATTTTGCTAGTAAAATTCTTTCAACTGTTTACTAGGGAAATGAGATGGGTTATTCTATAAAGCTCAATTCTTTAAATCCGGCCCTACTCATTAAAAAATATTTTCTGCTTCATGTAAAGAATTCTTATAAGAGTAATAATAATTTATATGTATGTACTCATATACATATCACACATCATTTATAGTATTTATTTTTTATTTTGGAGTTAAGAGACAATCTAGTTTTGTTTTGTTTTTTTCTTTTTTTACTTTTTTAAATCGAATTTATTTAAACAATACAACAAAATTTAATCAACAATATAGTTGCCATTGTTTTCTACTACTAGTGCCCAACGCTCAGGAAGCATTTTATTTTATTTTATTTTATTATTTTTATTTATTTATTTATTTATTTATTTTTAAATCAATCTTTATTGTTCATATTGTTACAAAGGTTCCTCATTTCTTCCCTCCTCCACCAGGTTCCCACCCCACCCTCCGCCCTCTCCCCATCTCCCATTGTCCTCATTTATAGGCGCAGTTTATGTTCAGTCTCTTCCTCCCTCCCTTTCCCCGATAGTAAATCCCTTTTCAGATAGTAAATCAGTTACTTAGCATTTTCTCATATCAATAATACCACCACATGCCCAATGATACATTTCACACAAAAGACATTTCCAAATAGGTCAACCAGCCTCATCCAGGCCCCACCCAAGGCACTCACAGATCAACACCCCAGCCCTAAGACAATCTAGTTTTTTTCAATCCTCACTTGAGGATATTTTTCCATTGATTTTTAAAAATATATATTTTATTGATTTTTCACAGAGAGGAAGGAAGAGGGATAGAAAGCTAGAAACATCGATGAGAGAAACATCAACCAGCTGCCTCCTGCACACTCCCTACTGGGATGTGCCCACAATCAAGGTACATGCCTTTGACCGGAATCGAACCCGGGGCTCCTGAGTCTGCAGACTGACACTCTATCCACTGAGCCAAACCGGTTTTGGCATTCCATTGATTATTAAAGAGAGTGAAAGAGAGGGAAAGAAATATAATGTGAGAGAAACACATCAATTGGTTGCCTCCTGCATGAACCCCAACCAGGGCCCAGGCCGGGAGGAGCCTGTAACTGAGGCATGTTTCTTGATTGGAATAAAACCCGGGACCCTTTGGTCCACAGGCTGATGCTCTATCCACTGAGCAAAACCAGCTCGGGCTAGTTGTTTTTTTAATCAGAAAATTATAAATGAATTTCTATTGTTTTATTTTGCACCACTATGCCCTGACTGCCATATCGATGTAATTGATATCCTAATTTATTGACTTAGATAGAAGGATAAAATAGGGATTATAATCTTAAGTTATTTGTGTTTTATCCTGATTTCTAATTAAATATATTCATTGTAATTCCATTATGTCCTATGTGCCAGCCACTCTTCAGTTAATACATTGCATGTTTTCTGTTCTTTTAGCACATTGAGTACCGTCTGAAAGTATCTCTGCCTTGTGATCTCGGAGCAGCTCTAACCGATGGTGTTGTTCTTTGCCATTTGGCCAATCACGTGTGGCCTCGATCTGTCCCGAGTATTCACGTTCCCTCACCAGCTGTAGTAAGTTTATTATGTTAAAAAATGTTGGCTGCTCGTCAGACATTTATAAAGTACAATGGCAGGCGTTGTGCAGAATGCTAGAGATACAAATATGAATAGTGCAGTCCCCGCCTTCCCTACCCTTCTGCCAGAGAAGAAAACGGGCACGTAGACCATGACTTACAGCAGAGGGCGTGATGTTGGAAGAGAGGTAAGAGGTGTACATGGGAATACAAAAAACGGACCGCTCATTTCTGCCTGAAGAACTCAGGAAAGCCCTCCAGAAGAGGTAAAATTGTAGGAATTCTGACATAGTATTTCTAGATTTGAAAGATAAGGAAGATCATGGCACATTCAAGGAATTTAACTTGTTTGGAATTGATCCTGCACAAGATGTGAATGCAAAAGGCAGGAGATGTAGCTAGAGAGGTAAGGCAAAGGCCAGCACCTCTTTTTGTAATAAAATTTTATTGGAACACAGTCCCGCTTGCTTATATATTATATGTTACCTTCAGACTATTAACAGAATTGAGTAGTTGCAACAGATCTTATGGCTCTCAAGACTAACATTTATTTGACTCTTCAAGAAAAAGTTTGCTAACTCTGATCTAGAGCATTGAGTTTATAAAGCAACTGGCAAGAATATTTTTAACATTAGCAAAATTTTTTAAATTTTGCTAGTAAATCACATTTTTCTTCCTTTGCAGCCTAAATTGTCAATAGCAAAATGCAGACGAAATGTGGAGAATTTCCTAGAAGCTTGCAGAAAAATTGGTGTGCCTCAGGTAATGAATTCATCATTTTTATATTGCTTAAATAGATGGTTATTATTTTTCTGAAATCGTTCAGAAGTGCAGGAATCTATAACCTTATAGGGCTAGCTTTGAACTAAACTGATCATTACTAACATGATTTTGTATTCTGAGAGGCAATCGGTATACTTTGAGCAGTTTTCCTTAATTATTTCCAAGGACCAAGCAAAAAATCATACATAAATTTTTTTATTTTAAATCTTTATTATTGGAAGTATTACGTGTCCCCTTTTCCCCCCAATTAACTCTCTCCAGCCCACCCCCACATATAATTTTAAATGTATTTAATAACATGCAAAGTAATCAAAAATAGTTATTCTGACATTTCCTAAACATTCCCACTTGCTATTTGACTTGTAATAAATACATCTTCATGCACAATAGTCTGTGCTTCAAAATAAGTGCATCTTCCATTGAGAATGCGTCAGTGGGTTTCAGGTATTTTCACACTTGTTGTAATACTTTTCTTGTTTATTTTGAAATAAAGTTAGACTTAGAGAAATGTTGCAAAAATATCGCAGAGAGTCATTGTGTACACTTCACCCAGGATCCTCCACTGGTAACATTTATATAAACGTAGAACGCCACCCAGACTAACGAACACTGGGATATGCTGTTAACTGAATTACAGATTCTGTTCAGATTTCCCGTTTTCCCACCAAGCTCTAATACTTTGGATTTTAGCATTTAGCCCCCAAGAGGCCATTTTAGGCTCTTGTCCTGCTATTGAAATTTATTGCTTCTGACTTCCGCAGTTACAGCTTTATTGCCTTTAATAGTACAAAAAATTAAACTTTATAGATGTGATTAAGGGATATGAACTTGATATACTTTTTATTCATTTTACCCTTTTAAAAACAATTATGTTAAACCAACTAAGCATGGTACTCTTAAGAAATATAATATTTAATGAAATTAAATTTAAAGAAATAAGCAACTTGGTAACATTTTATATGTTTTTTCATTAACCACAGTCATTACAGTTCCTGTCATCATTTTCTCCTTCAAGGAGAAAAACATGATTCTTCTGTCTCCTTTATTAGAAGTCCAGTATTGGGCCCTGGACTCAAGTTCCACTGTTTCTCTTGAAGTTAAGCCCTTGTCCTAACGGCTTTCACAACATGACTCTTTTTTAACCCAGTTCCATTCCTGTCTCTTCGCGGCCAGGACTTGTGAAGGCTCAGCTCACTGTCCAGTGAGCAGTTTTCTCTTTCAGCTCGTTCACATGCTGCAGAATGGGAGAGAGCGAGCTCGGCCCCATAGCGTCTGTATTAGTCAGTGTGTTTTCCTCCTTTTATTAAGTAGATCGTGATTCTATCTCTTTTTCACTTTTTTCTTTTGTGTTTTTTTTAAGAATTATAAAATGAAAGAATTGAAATATATTTGGTGGTAGTTAGCAAGAACCTTTAATTGCTGTATGAACAAATTCAAAAAAAAATTTTTTTTCATTTTTACATCATAGTTTCCTAAAGGCTCATCATCTCTTAGAACAAACCTTAAAAAAAAAAATTAAATAAATAAATAAATAATAATTAAAAAAAAAATATATATATATATATATATATTGATTTTTTTACAGAGAGAAAGCGAGAGGGATAGAGAGTTAGAAACATCAGTGAGAGAAACATTGATGTTTCTGGGATGTGCCCGCAACCAAGGTACATGCCCTTGACCAGAATCGAACCTGGGACCCTTCAGTCCACAGGCCGATGCTCTATCCACTGAGCCAAACCGGTTTTGGCAGAACAAACTTCTTTTAAATGTATTAATACGTTTTCTAAAGAAATAGCATGATTTTCTTCATATTAACAAGCAGGTCTAATACTCAGATGTTTACATTAACATTCAGTGCTTCCTTTTTGTCTATTGAATATGTTCCTACCTGTCATCACATTACACAAGCATGCCCAGTACCTGCCTGCTTCCATACCATCATGTCCTGAACAAAAGCAGGTGGCATGGGTTGGCATAGGGAATGGCAGCCAGAGAAAAGATACGGGTGATTCAAGAGAGTTACTGCATACCTAGAGGAATGCGGAAAACAGCCCCAAACAGCAAGACATGTTAGTAGAATTAGCCTGTCAAGCCTGTTGAAAGCACTGTGTTTACCAGTGTTTATCGTCATGGGACCTGTATTCTGGGCTTTATGGAACCATCATCTACCTCAGATTTAAAGTGCACACTCTTAAATTCTTTTAGAATGTGCCTGCAGTCAGCGAAATACAAAGACCGAGTGCCTTAGAGCATGCATTTAATTCAGCATTTGCCACGCAGTGGTGAATAGTGTTTATTGTGGGCCAGGCTGTCCCTATTCCTACCAGAACTGTGCTATTTGAAGTCAGGGGGAGAAAGCAATATAATTTTAAAATACTGGGTGGTTAGAAAGGGTTTCTTGACATAATGACATATCCTTCCTCTCCCCCTCTTCCCCACCCAAAGGGGGAAACGGACATTCCACACAGGCCACCTCTTCCTCCTCTGCCCCCCACTCTTTACCGCCACCACCGCCACCGCCGCCACTTCAGATGGGTTCCTGTTAGGCTGCAACTTCTGCTCTAAAAAAAATTAGTCATTTGCTTAGAACAAAGTGAAGAAAAATGAATAAATTTACAAACTCATAGGTTCAAACTAGCATTCTCAGGTCCTCTGCTAAGGAGAAAAGAGAATGCCTGTGCCGCCGCCTCTTCCTGTTACCCTGCTCCGGGCGCTCTGATTACTGCACATCTCATTATCTGTGTGACTTGTAAAGAAAACCAGGAATGTAAAAATGGTCATCTTTTAAATTGTATAATGTAAAATTTAATATTATAAATATCAGATTCTATATGTAAAGGCAAACAATTTCCCTTCTCAATATAATTTTTAAGTGTTTATAATGTAAGTTATGAATAAAATATTAAAGAATAAGGTGACTATGTCCTAACCGGTTTGACTCAGTGGATAGAGCATCGGTCTGTGGACTGAAGGGTTTCGGGTTTGATTCCGGTCAAGGGCATGGACCTCGGTTGCGGACACATCCCCAGTAGGGGCTGTTCAGGAGGCAGCTGATATATGATTCTCTCTCATCGATGTTTCTAATTCTCTATTCCTCTCTCTTCCTCTCTGTAAAAAATCAATAAAATATATATATTTTTTAAAAAGAATAAGGTGACTATTAAAAACTTCTGATAAGATTGGGCATGTGGGTATTCTTTTTATTACTGTGCTTTTACTAGATATGTTACATTTGAAAAACTAGTGGATGATAAAAATTTCTATGTGAGTTCAATATCTGGTGTACTAAAATTACTATATGTTATGTGTTGAGTATTTTCTATCAAGTCCAGTGATATATATTTATTTATTTAATTTCTTCATCTATGAACTGAAAGGTTTGGGTAATCTCTGAGATTTTTGGGATGTAGCTTCATTTTGCACATATCAGTGAAGACGTGGTTAGATGGGCATGCCGTGGTTTTAGAGAAGCACCAAGCCATCCAATACACCGCAGCAGCTAAATTCTCTGATTTTAGGCTTTCCTTCTTTTTTGAACTTTCGCAATTTACCTGGCTTTCTCTGAAAACTTCCCTCTCCTCGGCCTGCTCCAAGGTTTTGTCCGTTTTCTGAGAAGCCTATTCTTTTTTGTTATTGAGGAAGAATGAGATCCCAGAAAGAGGTTTCCTCTCGAAGCCCTCACTGCTCTCAGGCCTCCCTCAGCCAGCAGCCAGAGCTGCTCATTGTACCCTGAATGTCATACCAGTCACCATTCCAGCCAATTTTATTCTGCTGTTTTGTAGTAAAACCAAACTCAGCACACAGAGGTGTCCTTGTAGCTTTGTTGCTCAGCATTTTTCCCCCCATTCATCTTAGTAAAAAATGTTACGAGATGTTTCAGTGAGTATGATCATGTTGAATTCTATATTCAAATCTGTATTTCCGATCCACTGACTTTGTTTTTCTGTTTCCTTTCCTGCTCACACTTTGGACAGGACAATCTTTGTTCCCCTTCTGACATCCTTCAGCTAAACCTCAGCGTTAAAAGAACGGTTGAAACACTGCTTTCTCTTGGGGCACGTTCAGAAGAATCCAGTTTTGTCTCTCTGTCTATACAGCTTTTGGGTTTTGTGGCATTTTATTGTATTTTAATGTTAACTCTCTGTATGCTTTATTACTGGACCTTCCCCCTCTAGCTGAAAGATTGCATTCCAGTGGTTTTTCACCTCATTCCTGGGCTTGGTAAAGGAGGTTTGTTTCTCGTTCACAAATATTTACATATGTGCTTCTATCTTCCTGGCCATCGGAGAGCTAACCCCTAGCGGAGATGAATCCTCTCCTCATATGTCACGTTAGTCAGTAGGCATTTATGGAGACTAACAAAGAGCAACAGACCAGCCTTTTCCTCCTGGCCATCCACCCGTTCTCCTGGCCTGTGGCCTTGTTTCTGTTAATGCTGAGGTGCTCCTGCTAATACAGTCTGAGCCTGTCTTAGCATGTGACTAAGAATTTCATTCCGAATGACATAATAAAATTCCCATCTGGCTATTTTTCCATGCCTAAACACAGCTTTAAATGTTGAAATTGTAAGTTGCCGAACTTCTTCAACAGACGCTCATGAGGAAAGTAGTTGTACCCTTTCTGGTTTAAATCTCTGCATTGAACTGTGCCCTGAAGTCTCCCTGCTGGCTGTCTGGGCATCTGGAAGGCACTTAACCTTAATAACTTTAATTTCATCAGAATGGTCAGTCCAAAATCATGTAGGTTCTCTAGATTGTTATTCTGAGCCCAGTGTATACATTTAAAACAATACACAGCAAGCGAATGGTCTAGAGCTGACTTTGCAGGGGTAGGCAGCTGTCCAGATTTACTATGTGTTCATCTTTAATTGAGCTTCATGTCTAGAATCCTATTAAGAATTTAAAATCAGAATTTATGTAATTCCTAATACCATTTGAACCATCTTACTAGGTGAACTTGTATTTTATAGACTGTTGAGGAAATTACATCTGAACTGGAGGTAAAGAATTAGGCAGCAGTCTCTGTTCTGTACACAAAGGCAAAGGATATATTTGCTTTTAGAACATCCTGTTGTAGAAGTCAGCCCGGAGGTTTGATTGTTTTCAGTTCCTTCTATATTAAATGAGACAGTTACTTAAAACATTTGAAACTATTTACTGTTGGTGCTGAAACATGGAACACTGTGTTGGAAACTTTAATTTTATGTTGTAGTAGTGCCTTCCAGAGTTTGGGGGGGAGGGGGGGTCAGATGTTTCTGAGTCAGAGATCATTTAGTTCTGTGGAATTTTGTGCTTTTGAAAAAACACCTGATAAAAAACACATGGTCTTGTGTGTGGTTTGAAGGGCGTAATTGTGCATTCTTTTGGGAACACGTGGTTGTCTAGGCCAGCGGAAGGTGACTGCATCCGGCAGCACAGCCGCCGAGGACGTGTCTGTCACGTGCACCGGCGCAGGGAACCGGCCTCAGAGAGAACAGGTCTCTCCCAAGAGCAAAACCCTGGAAGTCCATGTTAAGTGTAGGAAACTATACTTGCAGTTGTACTCAAAGTATTTACGCAAAGTTGATCATTTAAAAGAGCAAAAGATTGCAGTTACTGTTTTTTAATCAGATAAGTATTTTTTAAAAGAAAGAAGCATTTAAGGACCAATAACTGCTTAAAATAAATACTTGTTATATTTTTTTATTGCAGCTGATTTTGTAAAACTTCCTACTATAGTAAGTGCTAATGAAAAGCTGAGAAAAGTTCAGTTATCTTCTTTAATAAGTATGTATAATTTCTTTTTAATGAAACCAGAATTCTCCTTTCTGTCCATTTCTTCCCGTAATCCCTGCCTGGTATGAAGCCCTGATTTTCACAATCAGGACCTAATGCAGAGAGGAGGCATCCCTCCCTAGTGCCGCCTGAGCGATGGCACCAAATGACCGTGCCTTCCTAGTGGACGGCATTTCCAGCGCATTTTCTCCTGCAGCCCAGCCATCTGATGTAACGTGTCCTTTTCTCTCTCTTCACCTGCCTGGTTTTACTCATTTGCATTACTCTTTTATTTATCAGAGGTAAAGCTCTTGCTTTCACTCCATAGTCTGTTTGTCCTCTGTTGTTTGTGTAAGTGTATGTAACTTGTCCATTTTCCATTTTGCAAAAACAATCCTATGTATTTTTAGTTGTGTTAATAAAGTGATAGTATCAGATACCATCTCCGTGTGCCTCATATGAACAGAGGTCATTTTCCCAACTGACTTTTCACATCTCAGTTGATTATTGTAAGAGATGCTTATTTTTTTTCTTTTCAGTTCTGTGATGTTCATCCTGTTTTCTTTTGTGTTTATGTCACGTTTTCCCATTTCAGGAGCAATTATGTTTGCCTCTCCACATTTTAGAAGAGAAAGGTCTGAGCCAGGTTGCAGTGACGGTGCAGGCTCTCCTGGCGCTGGCCCCGCCCAAGCAGCAGCAGCACCAGCTTTCTGCTGCGTGAGGACGCCCCGCACTCCGGGCACTGCCTGGCCAACACGCCCAGGACACACCATCGCCGCCAGCCGCCTGCTTACCCAGAGCTCTCACATGTTCCTAACAGGGACTGTTCCCATGATTCCTAACAGGAATATTTCGCTTCATTTCTCCATTTTAGGGGAGGTTATATCCATTTCCATTGAATTGTTTTGGAAGACCTGGTTGGTTTTCACAAATGAAACGTAATCCTGTCATTCCTGAGAGCCGAGCTTCCCTGGAGGAAGGGTTTTGCGCCTCCCAGAGCGCGCCTCAGAGGCTCGTCAGCGCTCTCAAAGGCACAGACATGCGGTTAGCCTTCCCTGTCCCCGACCTCTAGAGCTCTGGTTCTAAACGTGGTTGTTCAATGGAGGCTCCTGGAGCATTTGTTAAATACAGGTCCTCGTCAGTAGGGTCTAGGAAGGCCTGGGTACCTGCATTTTCAACGAACATTCCAGATATTTCATGTAATGGAGTCCACCGTTCCAAGCTAGATATTTGTGTGATTGGGGGAGTAATGACTTCACTGTGTTTTCAGCCACATTTAAAACCAAAAGCTATATGGTGACTACTTGGACTTTCTGTCCAAGGCAAAACAGAAATATGTAGAAGGCCTAGATTTTGCATGGTAAACCAATGGAACAAAGTTGTATTTAAGGCCAGTGTCCTAGGCCCTACTGTTCGGAATCCTCAGGCCGGTAACTCAGCATTTGCTTTGCCTTCCCTGAGCCCCCTCCCCTCCCCTCTTCAGGCCATGCTGCTCCCAGGATACCTGGGCCTGCCAGCACCTTCCAGTCACCGCAAACACGTCCAGCTCCCCAGCTGATGGAAGACCATAAAACAAAGCAGAAGGAATAAGGGGAAAGCCACGAGTCTTCTGTTTCTTCCAGGCAACTGTCAGTTCCAGTGGCTGAATTAAACCACTTGCAGCATCTTAAAGACGGCTCGCTGCCTTCTCATCCAGCTCCACCGCCAGTGCCTGTTCCCCGACTGTGTGCAGAGGCGGGGCCCGAGGGCTCCCCCACACAGAGCCAGGCCTTTCCCTGAGCCTCGGGAGGTCAGCCCTCGGGTCTTTCTTCCTCTGCATTTTGAACCCTTTTTAGTTGTCGGTGATAATGTTTTGGTCACTGTCCTTACAAACCAAGTAAATAGCGTAAGTGAAGATACTAATTATCTAGTTTTTTTTCTGTTGTTGACTGTTCTGGGTTTCCTTTACCAATGCATGCATTTCAGCATAATGTTCTCACTCTTTTTATCAATGTAAACGCAGCATCTAAACGTAACTTTGGATAAAATGATGTTTAGTATCTGATAAGTCAATGTTTTCTACTTGTTCTCATAAGCCTTAAGGAAACGAGTTCATCAGAACATTACCACTTGTCCTAGTTTTAAATTATGTATCACAGAACACCTGCACTCAAAGCCCAGCGTTCGATCTGCACAGAACAAAAGTAAAATGTTTTCCAAGTGCTTAGAGCCAGACCCATTATACTAACAGTCCCAGACACCCACCAGTCATATGACTTGTTTAGAATTTAGTTGTGTGTATTTTTAAACTATATTTTTCCTTCTGGTCAACATTAAACCTCAGTACTACTTCCAGATTATAGCGAGCCATTTGAATGAAACTCAGCAAAGGACAGGACTCTTTGTCACATATTTTGCAAGGAATAACCCCAGAAGTAAATAGCGTAAGTGAAGATACTAATTATCTAGTTTTTTTTGCAACATTCGGAACATTTGCAACTAATTTTCCCAGAGGAATAAATAGTAATTTCAATGCATTTCAAATTTTACACATAAGCATGAAACCTGTTCATGTATTTTTATCAAATTTTACATTTGAATTGCTAGGAAAAAAATGTGCAGTTTTGGTTGATAATGAAAGGAAGATATCAAATACATTGAATTTCTTCAAGATGAGGGAACCATGACTTTTTTGTTGTTGTTCAAAATTATTTGTATTCAGTGTTTCAGTATTTTATTTGTACCTTTGGGTTTGTTTTTGCTTTTTTTTTTTTTTTTTTTAAGTTTTATTGAGGTATTATTTATATGCCACAAAATTCTGTTGCTTTATAGTGCAATTTTTTAAGTTGTACCTTTTTTTTTTTTTTTTTTACTGAAAAATACGATTTAACACTTAGCCTTGCCAGATACTAATGAAGATGACTTTGTAACAGTTCCACCTGACGGTTTACTTATGAGCTTCCTATGAAGCAGCAGCCTTCCCAGAGCTGGAGTGTGAAGGAAGGAAAGGCTGGGTGCCCACCCACCAGGCCCTGCCACCTGCAGAGGCTGTAAGTCAGCAGGTCTCTGGGCTTTCAGGCGCACACGCGCTCGGCACTCCAAACCATTTTCTCCGAAACAACCCACAGGAGGAGGAGCCTTCATGTTTGACTAGAACAGAGGAGGCGGCTTACTAATAGGTCACTTTTCTTTATAAAAACACAGTCTCACAGCCAGTCAAGGAATCTGATTTCTCTTACTTGCCATAGCTCAGCAGTGACTAATGTGTGCCTGTGCTGATGAGTGTGATGAATTTTTAAAAACTAAGCACTTAAATGGTTATAGAAATGAAGGAAAACATGGATATTTTGAAGCTTTTTTATATACATATTGCAGTGAGATGGTTTACAGCAGATTTTATTTCTGAAAATGTTGTAAACATGTAATTAGTAAAAGAATTTGTGAAATGTTGTCCTATATTTGTATGTGTGTAAATATGGTGCGTAAGTTCTAACTATAAATATGTCAATATCATGTATGTTATTTTAAATTGCCTGTATGCCACCTTACACTTCCACACTGAAATAAAAACCAACACTTCAATAGCATGAGATAAAGGCTGATTGAAAATGTTCTTATCTAAAGCGTGATTTCCGTGGCAGAAATGAAAGAGTATCTAATTTCCCGAAGGAACGTCAGATCAGGAGAAACGGGGTTCTCATCATAGGTCCTTGACATCAAAATGTACTGTTTAAAGGAAGTATGGAAGTCAGTAGTGCCCTGTATTTGGACTTAGATGTAAGGCTTATTTATTAGTACATGAAACACATGTGACTCTGAGACACATTTTCTCTACCGCTTGTGCCACTGAAAAAGCTTCAACATCCCAAGATTCTGCTTTGATTAAGCAAAACAAGAATGACCCAGCGGCTCACTCTTTTTTAGGGGAAGAGGGAGGGTGACCAACCATCAGCTTTATGTTGCAGGCACAGGTTAGGTATTTTCACATGCATTGTCTCTTAGTCTTAATACCCACGTTCAAAAATATCTCCAAACTGGTCTTCTAGGGAACCTGTGTCCCCCATCTTTACCTGGTTGGGTTTGCTAACATCTCATTTCTAACATTTCTGGGAAATTGAATTGTCCTTACCTATTTCCCAGAAAAGGAGCTGAAGCTAAACCATCATCATCACCTTTTAATAAAAACACTAAAATGATAAATCTAAAAGGCAGGAAGGAACCAATCTTTAAATAAAACTTCACTACATAAGTATATTATGCTGGACACGTCATAAACATCATCTTGTAATTCCTATTGAACACTTCACTTTTTTTTTTAATGTATATTTTTTTTATTGATTTTTTTATAGTAAGGAAGGGAGGGGGGAAAAGAACCAGAAACATCGATGAGAGAGAAGCATCAAACAGCTGCCTCCTGCACACCCCCTACTGGGGATGTGCCCGCAACCAATGTACATGTCCCTGACTGGAATCAAACCTGGGACCCTTTAGCTAGACAGGAAGTGGCTGCAGCCCTCCGCTCTACCAGCTGAGCTATCGAAGGGGGCACAAATTTGGGACCCTTTAGTCCGGAGGCCAACACTACCCACTGAGCCAAACCAGTCAGGGCGAACACTTCACTTTTGCTCATAGAGTGTTTTCACTATCGACCAATTGAATAAAATCAGAATCAGAGACTTATTACATGAATTATTGAAGTTTTAATGCATTACTGTAACAGCCTATGAGTTTTTTCCTGGTAAGAAAGAGCAAGATGAATCTTCACAAGTCTCCTACAAATAGTTCCCAGCAAAAATTTTTCAAAATATGAACAAGTCCTAAATCAATGCTATAATCTTATTTCAAGGTTTGAAACTAATATAACAGGCAAAGTGAAATAACCAGGCCACATCTGGGAATGTCCAAATCAGGAACTACTGAAGATGAGTTATCTGATGGTAATAGATGTTTCTTACTCCCTTCAAGTCCTCCCCATCTCCGGATGCCAGAGGAAAAGCCGGAAGATACTTGGTCATTATCTCTTGATTCTCAGTCTATTTCTGCCTCTGCCTTTACCTTTTGAATCCTTGCCATCAGCTTTCTCCCTCTTAGGCATTCTGAAACCACCAATTTCATTCCGCACTATAATGCCTCGCCACCAGGCCTGGAGCTGGAAGAGAAAGGGGAGTGGGAACAATTTATAGTGCCTGACAAGCTGCATTCTTCCTACATAAGGGTTTGAGGTTTTTTTTAAATATATTTTATTGATTTTTTTTTTACAGAGGAATAGAGTTAGAAACATCAATGAAAATCATTGATCAGCTGCCTCTTGCACACCCCCTACTGGGGATGTGCCCGCAATCAAGGAACATGCCCTTGACCGGAGTCGAACCTGGGACCCTTCAGTCCGAAGGCCGACACTGTCCACTGAGCCAAACCGGCTTTGGCAAGGGGTTGGGTTTTAATGAAGTGACTTGTATCTGAAGAATGGACTGAGAAATGGGTGTGCCAAGCATGCCCTCCCTGCAGCAGTGCTCCCCGGTTGTGCAGGACCCAGAGCTTAAGCCATGGACTCAAGTTCTCAAGGAGTAAAAAAAAACAACCTTTTTCTTACACTTAGAAAACCAGCTCCCTTGTACTTTTGCTCTTCACAAACATACTTTTCCATCTAACAACAATTTGATCCAAGTTTAAAATGTGCAGATAGGCCTAGCCAGTTTGTCTCAGTGGATAGAGTGTCAGCCTGCAGACTGAAGGTCCCGGTTTGATTCTGGTCAGGGGCACATGCCTGGGTTGCAGGCTTAATCCCCAGTGTGGGGCGTGCAGGAGGCAGCCGATCAATGATTCTCTCTTATTGATGTTTCTGTCTCTCCCTCTCCCTTCCTCTCTAAAATCAATATATATATATATATATATATATATATATATATATATATATATATACACACATATATATATGTATATGTATATATGTATATATATATATATATTAATATATTTTTATTGATTTTTTACAGAGAGGAAGAGAGGGATAGAGAGTTAGAAACATCAATGAGAGAGAATCACTGATCAGCCGCCTCCTGCACATCCCCTACTGAGGATAAGGATGACTGGAATTGAACCCAGGACCTTTCAGTATGCAGGCTGACGCTCTATCCACTGAGCCAAACCAGTTTCGGCAATAAAAATATATTTTTAAAAATAAATAAAATGTGCAAATATAGATGATTTCAATAGACTTCTGGTGCACTTCATATCTTTAATGATTGGTTAAAGGATCAATACTTATTTTCAAAAAGTAAGCCTTGCATATTTTAGTCATTAGAGACAACTGTTCTGGGCTACTTTAAAATCACACTCAGCCATAAAGACTGAGAGCAAATCCACTAACAAAAACAAAAAAAAGGTGGCCTTCCTCTAGTTCTTACATTTTTGCTCTCAGTCAAGGAATCCTGACTAGTGGGTGACAAATAGAAAACACCATAGGAGCTCGATAAATACTAACTGTACATCTGACTCTCCTAATGGAAAGCTCAAGTTTGGATTTGGTTACCTGATCCCGAATGCACTTTAAAGCTTACTTTTTTAAAATATTTATTTTTTTATTGGTTTCAGAGAGGAAGGGGGAGAGAAACATCAATGATGAGAGAGAATCGTTGTCTGCCTCCTGCACGACCCCTACTGGGGATCGAGCCCGCAACCTGGGTATGTGCCCTTGACTAGTACCTTCATTCTGCAGGCCAATGCTCTGTCCACTCAGCCAAACCAGTTAGGGCTAAAGCTTACATTTTTAATCTACTCCTAATACATATCCCAAACTACAGCCTGCATATTATTCTATCTCCGCAGGTACTCCTCTTTCAGAAACAAGGACGATCCTCAAAACAAGTTTCAGTTCCATTGATGTTATTTTTGCTTGATATTTCCTAGAATCTGATCTGCCAGTTAAAGCATCATGAATATATAGAAGTTCATATAAAACTAAAACTTTTAGCCGGGACCGGTTTGGCTCAGTGGGTAGAGTGTCAGCCTGTGGACTGAAAGGTCCCGGGTTCGATTCCGGTCAAGGGCATGTACCGTGGTTGCAGGACATCCCCAGTAGGAGGCAGCTAATTGATGTTTCTCTCTCATCGATGTTTCTAACTCTCTATCCCTCTCTCTTCCTCTCTGTGAAAAATCAATAAAATATATATATTATAAAAAAAAAAAAAACTTTTTTTTTTTTTTTGTCTAAACTTATCCCCTCTACTTTTTTTAAAAACAGCTCTCAGCACAATCTGGCAGATAGCCTGGGCTAACTTAGAAATAGGGTTTTCAGAAGCAGCATGATATTAGAACTCTGTCAAGAGCTATTTGGTTAGGCCAGCTTGTATGGCCCAGCTGAGCTGCATCCCATGCACAAAGAGGGCACCAGTTCAATTCATCATCTGGGTTTGGGGCTTGATCCCCAGTAGGGAGTATACAGGAGGCAGCTGATCAGTGTTTCTCTCTCTCCCTCTCCCTTTCTCTAAAAATCAATAAAAACATTTTTTAAAATACGTTTTGGTTAGAAATAGTATCCTTAAATTTGACCTCTGGGCACAAATTCTAGGTTTTGTTTCCACTGCCAAGTCACCTTCTTTTCCCTGATTAAAGCTGGAGGAATGAACCAAAGGACGTGTGTGCATACATCTGAACCTGGCCAGTGGTCAAGGACAACGGGGGGGGGGGGGGGGCTTGAATGGGAGGGTGGGGGATGGGAATGGGAAAAGGACAAATATGTGATACCTTAATCAATAAAGAAATTAAAAAAATAAAGTTGGAGGAATGTCTTTTTCTGTTAACTGTCTCCCTGCACCACCGACTGTAGATGTCCTGTTCTGAGTTTGATAATAAGTGAGAAGTACTTTGCATTCCTCAGTGGTAAGCCAGATACAGAACTGAAAGGAGTCACTAAGACAATTACAACTTTCTACCTTTATGATGCTCTTTAATTCCAAGGCAGTCTGCTCTATCTGCTTCTTGTTCTTCTCCTTTTCTATACGATCTTCAATGATGACCTGTTCATACTCCCTTATCTGCAAAAGTAAACATTAATTATGTTACAGGACTCTTGGCTAAGCTGTGGCCCAGCCAGCCCTGCAATTCTAATAAAATTTAAAATAAAGCATGCCAAATCTAAAGATAAACAAAAGGAAAAAATACTTACTGGATTTCTATATTATAAATATTCACATATTAGCTTCATAACTGTTCTGTTCCCAATTGTTTTTTCAGTTTGAATAATTCAAATTTGCCTTAAAATATTTCATAAAAATGAAATATTAATGTGATTAATGACCTCAAATTAATGTCATTTTTTAAGAGCTGTGATAGAATGCACACATGAAGCCATACTTAGAAGCATTTTGGAAATCATAATTTACTGTCTTCAGAGACCATAAAATAGAAATTTCAAGAGGTGGTTGTGAGGGTCAAATTAAGTTCTACTAGAGTATGTGCAATACTAGTAAGGTGCCTGGGACAGAGTAAGCACTAAGTGTTAGCTACTGCTCTTGTTGTTGCATTGTCACCGCTATTATGATCACTGAAAAAGAATCCCATGGCCTAGCCAGTGTGGCTCAGTGGTTGA